TTTCATTTATTTGAAATCTGGGCTCTCCTCTCCATATTCCCTCCGATGATTCATTTTTTTCATTGAGCAAAAGTAAAAATCATATTGATTTTTCGATCAGAATTATGCAAGCAACATTAGCATTAGCAAGGTTCAAGAGCCGTGGTTCCCATCTGGATGATGGAAAAAAATCTCTTACTACATTTTTTTTTTCTCGTTTATAAAAAATCTCCCGAACAAAATCCTAAACTAAGCTCCTAACAGAGAGCTTCGACGGCGAGCCGCTTGACAAGATCAGCGGCGCAGTCCGTATCTCCGAAGGTAGCTTCAGAGACATCGATAGCACAAGATTCTTTCCCAACGCACAAATTCTCAACAATCTTCAATGCATCGCTCTGGCTCTTGCACTCTCCCGTCGTGAAAGACCCACAACTCCCCAATGGATTGCCGTAACTCGCGAAGGCAATCCCTGAAATCTGTCGCCCCTGACACGACAGCTCCAAACGGTGGTTGTCGTAAGCATGAGCACAAGCTTTCTCCATGCTGATTGTTCTGAAGTTCACCAATGATGGGTTCCCTCCAAATTCCTCGAACAGAACCAGAGTGTTGTCGCCGTCGTTGATGAAGGATCTCGGCACGTGGTACCACCGTTGTGTTGGGTGGCCGCAGTTGCTGACGCATTTTTTGTTGTCGTACGCGCCACGGTAATCGCATGGGTCCAAGCTGCAACCTTCTTCGGCTATGAAGCTCGGCCAGTAGCGGCCGAGGTTGTGGCCGTTGACCCAAGCAACCCCCTTGCCGAGGCCTTGTAAGTCTAGAGCCACTGGGTCCGTTCCTAATGGAGCTTTGAATGTTGTTTTGTACCATGTCATCATTTTGTTTACTGGGAGGTTCTCCGATTGCCATTTGGCGGCGAATCGGGAATCTGAACTGAAGAGACGATTTTCGAAGCCGTGCAATCCGATTTCGTATGTCCATTTGTGAGACGAGAGATCTTTTATGAGTGTTTCATCGCCGTTGCGGCCGATTAATTCAACTGGGCCGGGGATTCCTGATTGAATCAGGTCGAAGAAGGGCCCGTAGTTCTGAAAAACAGAGCAAAATTTGTGAGATTTGTTGATGAGAAAAATCAGAAACAGAGCTCGGAGATACGAACCTGGTAGCCGACGGTGGCGCTGAGAAGGGAGATTATGTTCTTTCCTGGCTTCAGTTTCACTTGTCTCTCCATAAAGTAAGTGAAAATTCCATACGAAGCCCATTGGGAACCGATATGTTCGCCGTTGACGAAGGCGTGGAGGACATGGCCACTGCCGTTGATTCGCAGAGTCATGTCGTTGCTCCAAATCCGATCGGCTTTCTCCAAGTGAACGCTGTAATTTGGGGAAGAACATGCAATTAGGGAAATGGGTAAGGCTTAAATCGATGAAATTCGTGTTCGATTTCGAGGATTTTACCTTGTCATGTACCAGAGATAATCACTGGCGTCGTTAGCGGCAGCTTTCTGATCAAGAAGCATATTAGCACTGACTTGTCCTTTGCCTAATCTCGCGGTGGCGTCGAGATTCTCCGGCCGCCACAACCATTTCAACGCCGCCGGTTCTTCCTCCGCCTTGTTTTCCTTCTTCACCATCACGGAAGTTTGTGTGTTCACTTTTGCTGTGTTGTAAACCTCTGTTTGACAGTCGGGAAGAATGCTGACGGACCACGCCGGAACTTTGAAGTCCCTTCCGTTGTAGCTCACCGTCGCGTCGTTTGTTACGTTCGCGTTGCTGAAGAAACAAGCCGACCCTTCTTTTGTAGTGTATTTGGTGATCTAAATCGAGAAAAATAACAATGTTTAATCATTGAAACAGAGCAAAAACAGATGAGATCCGTTTTTTGGTTCTTACAGAAACAGAGTTGCCCAAATCCGTGGTGTTCACGTCGCCGGAAACCAGCGGCTTCTCAATGGACATCAAAGCATCGTGAAGCTGCTTCAAATGGCCGTATTTGGGTTGATTCAGATTACCATACTCATCCAAGGGTGCATCGTAATCGTAAGAGGTTGTGATGTACGGACCGCCGGCCATCCGGTCGAAGTTCGTTCCGCCGTGGTACTGAAAAAACCCGGTCACCGGAGCTATAAAAACCCAAACCCAGATGCAAAAACCGATGAATTAAGGAATTGAGCACAAACCATGTAGTAGTTTTGGAAAGTGCCGCCGAGTTGGTAGAATCTAGCGACGGAGAAGGCCAAATCTTCGGAGGTTCTATGTGGGTCTTTTCCGCCCCAGCTCTTGAACCAACCAGTCCAATTTTCAGTCCACATTTTGGGGCTGTTTGGATTGTTGGGAGTGAACTGATCGCAGTACCAGCCATTGCAGGTGTTGATCATTGGCTCGGGTGCGTCGGCTTGCTGACACATGATCCATGGAACTCCAACTTTCAACGAGTCCGCCATGGATGCACACCAGTTCACATAAGCTTTTCCAGCTTCGCCGTAAGGGGTCATTACATTACCGTATTCATTTTCAATCTGAGCTAGAATCACTGGACCTCCTTGTGAGGCGAAAAGATTCTCCTTCTTCACCATGTCCACAATCAACGTGGTGAAGTTTTGCATCTCATTCTGTTCATAAATAAATAAATAAATAAATAAATAAAACTTCAAAAAAACAGAGTATTAAAAGTTTCAAAAAACAGAGAAAAATGACGATGAAAATGTCACCATGAATACGGAATTTAACGTTCTGAGTTCAATTCCAGGAAGGTTGTGGAGCCAAACCGGAAAACCTCTGTAAATTCCAAAGATTAGAATTCAGTGTACAAAAAACAGAGCAAGTTACAGAAGAACAAAAAACAGAGCAATATACCCATAATTCCACTCGGCGCAGACATATGGACCAATGCGAAGAACAGCGTAAAGGCCTTGATCTTGAATGGTTTTAAGGAACCTAATGAGATCAAGATTGGCACTGAAATCATATTGACGACGAATCGGCTCATGGGCATTCCAGAAAACGTAAGTTTCAATAGCGTTCAATCCACCTTCCTTTGATTTTCTGATCAAATCAGGCCACATCTGCAATAAACCAAGCCCATTTCAATTTGATATCATCCGATCAACAAACCCATTTCGATTTGATATCAACTGTACCTGGGGAGTGCTTCGTGGGTAGTGGATAGAACCAGAGAGTAAGATCCTGGGTTGGCCATCAATGGTGATGGCTCTGTTCGTGTGGGAAACTTGGATGGCAGAGGCGTAGAGGACGACATTCAAGAGAAGAATGAAGCAGAGAGCTGATGAACAATCCATGGTGTTATTGAATTTTGTTGTGAGAAATGAATTGTTGTGTGTGATGTATTTATAGTGGAGAGGAGTGAATAAAACAGTGATTCTGTTGAGAAGATTTTAAAATCGTAACAGAGTTGAGTTTATCTCGTTTGTAATTTTTTCTAATAATAAGAATTAATTTATAAAAAGAAAATAAGTATATCCAAATTTATAATTATTTTTTTAATGGATAATATATTTGGTAGGTATTTTATTCTTTTTCTTTCATTGGGTAGAAATATGGAAATGATTTGGATGTTAGAACATACCGAATTATTAAAATGAATAAAAATAATATAATATAAAGATAATTTAGTAATTTGTTTAGATAACATATTAAAAATTCAAAAACATAATTTATTATTTTCTTATTTTTCTGGAAAGAATGGTTGTTCGTGATCCTATATCGATTAATTACTATATAAAATATATAGACATTATTTTTTTACAGAATTAACTCATTAAGGATAAGGATGAAAACTAAATATTCAATACAAAAATTTCCAACTAACACATCCAATCATTCTAAACTTATTATCTATTTATAATTTTTTTTGTTTTGATTAATAAAATATTTATAAAATTTAAAAATTGAGGTGAAAATGAAGAAATAGTGCAACTTTTAAGTTTGCTAGTTATTATTATTTTTATTTAATTTTTTTTTTTGTCGCATATCCAATAAACCCTACTTACTTTTAAGATTATTATAAATTAAATATATGATATTTGTTATGAACGGGGAATGTTTGATATTGAATTTTATGAAATTTTAGTTATTAATGCAAATGTATAGATAAATAAGATTTTTTTAAATAATAAAAAAAATTATGACAACCCAACTAAAAAACCGACCCGGAATTAGTTGAATTAGTTGGTTCAAGAGGATGATGATCAGCCACATTGGAATTGAGACACTGACTCAAACTCTTACGGAAGATCGCAATGGAGAATTGTCTGTAATGCTGCAGGGAGGTCTACCTACCTACAGTGACTTCCAATCCACCTTCTTCTTTCGCATCCATGCCTCTCATTTTATTCGTTTCTACACAAATTTCTTATTTAATTTTGGATCTTACAATTATTCAAATATCTTTTCATTTCAGGTCTAAATAGAAATTCTCTAATAAGACAAGTCTCATATATCTTTTCACAACTTTGATATCCTGATATATTCTTTGCTTATAAACTCACAATCAACCTGTGAGATATCTCTCCCAACAATCCTCCTCTCAAACAAAGTACACTATAGAGCCTCTTTATGAAGCCCTCGAACAACCTCCCTTTAATCGAGGCTCACTTTCTTCTTTGCTTATAAATTTATGATCAACTTCTTAATTACCCGTACTCCTCTTCCAACCAACCATCGTGTATACCTTGACAATAAAAGGTTGTTATCAACTTATAGCTAGTGGGAAGTCAATAAATCCTAAACCAAATTATAACACATTTGAAACGATAATGGGAGCGAAGTCAATAAACTTCTAAAACCATACACTAATTTTGAGAAAATGATCTAAAAGATGAAATTTTGTTGAGAGGTTTAAGGGGATGAACAAAACCAAAAATTCCACAGCCTCCCAAAAATAACAATCAAACCAAAAATGGAGGCTATAAAATCAGTTCCCCATTCTTCATCATCTCCTCAGCTCTGCACAAAAAGCACAAATAACAAAGAGCCAGTGGCAGAATAAGAATAAGAACAAGAACAATGGCGAAATCTGCAGTAATGCTTGTTTCAGCCCTCTGCCTCATGTCGCTCATCAACATCGCAACCTGCGAGAAGGAACGCTTCTTCGTGGAAGGCAAAGTGTATTGCGACACATGCCGGATCCAATTCTTCACAAAAGTCAGCAAATTCCTCGAAGGTAACTAAAAAAAAGCCCTAACCCTAAGGATTTGGGAATTCTGAAATAGAAATAGAAATTGTAATTGCAGGTAACTAATTTTTCGAATTAAAAACAAAAACTAACCCTAAGGATTTAGGGCTTCTGAAATTGAAATTGCAGGTAACTAATTTTTCAAATTAAAAAAAAAAAAAAAAAAAAAAAAAAGCCCTAACCCTAACCCCTAACCCTAAGGATTTGGGGATTCTGAAATTGAAAATGAAATTGCAGGCGCGACTGTGAAATTGGAATGCAGAGACATCGAAGGAGGAAATGTGACGTTCAGCAAAGAGACGGAGACGGATAAATCGGGGAGTTACAAGATCGAGACGGACAAAGATCACGAGGAAGAGGTGTGCGAGGTGTCGCTGGTGAAGAGCAAGGATCCGGATTGCGATGAGATCACGAAGGAAGGGTACGCACACAAATCCAGAGTGAGTATCACCAGCAACAGTGGAATCACCAGCCCCGAACGCCTTGCCAATCCATTGTCGTTCATGAAGAAGGAGAAGCTGCCTGAATGCAAGGAGGTTCTCAGAGAGCTCGGCTTCGACGAATATGGCAACATCGTCTAAACTAAACCACCACCGTCATAATAGCGGACAAACAAACACCACGCATTTCTTACCAAACTTCTCTATTATTTCTTTATATTAATAAAATGATTTTTTTTTTTTAAATGTTGCCATTATATAATTTAATTTTATGCATTTTCTAGTAATAATAAAAAATATTATATCTAACCTTTTTTATTTCGAACATACATCTCACCATGAACACAAGAAAAATGTCAACCTACATCTCACCGTGAACACGAAAACTACTAGAAAAATGTCAACCTACATTTCACCATGAACACAAAACTACTAGAAAAATGTCAACCTACATCTCACCATGAACACGAATTCTCTAAAAAAATGTCACCCTAAATACAAAGTCAAAAGATATCTCAATTATTTTCAATGCCAAATAAATTTTTAGGCTAGAGTGGATGTGGTTTAGCCTTAAAAGTCAATTAAGCCTTAAAAGTCAATTAGATCCAAATCAAGCCAGAGTAGATTCTACCGAAGACATACACAATCAACCATCCTTAGAGTAGTAACCTTTAATCTATAAAAATAACTTTCTTTGTGAGATCCCACCTCGATTAGAGAGAGTAACATGTACCAACGATGACGCTGGCCCCCAAAGAGTAGATTGTGAGATCCCACGTCGATCGTAAAGGAGAACGAGTGCTAACGAGAGCACTAGACCCCGAACGAGATAGATTATGAGATCTCAAACGAGATCAAAATTGTAATCCAACCAAAAGCTAATCAAAATAGAAACTAGAAAAAGAACAAAAAAATTACAAAATGGGAAATATTAATAATAGTTTTAAAAGCTATGGACCAAGGAGATGTCATGGTTAAGAGAGAAGCAGCCATGGCCTCTGCAAGCTTCTTGACCAGAAGAACAGAGCACAAAACAGAGGTCTACGCAAAAATGGCGAGTCCTTCTGTAACCCAAAATAAGAACCCTAATACAGAACAGCTCAACTAGATTTCACAATACTTGATAATATATATAAAAAAAACACCATTACAGCTACGGCTGCACAGCCAAACCCAGCCACGAGTTGTCGCCGGCGCCGGCTCCGGCGTTCTTGCTTGCCGTCGGGATGCCCTGGTACGGCGCTCTGGCAGTCAGCCTGTTGAAAACAGAGTAAATTAAACCCATTTCCATGGAGGAGAGCTGAGGGAACTGAATTAAAACCCACCTGTCTTTTCTCTTCTCCAAGAAACGTTGAATCGAAGCTTTACGAGCCATCGGAAGAGCTGGAAATGGAAGAGAAATAATCAGCCGGCGAAGAGAAGTTGAGGAAATCTAGAAAAGGGGTTTGTTGGTTATGAGTTAATTACCACCGGTAACGGGCTGCGGCTGTGGCGGCGGCGGCGGCGGAGTTTGGATACGAGAGGAAGTAGGGGAAGTGGAGCTCAATGAATCAGCCGGAGTTTCAACCAATACCCGCTGGCCAGCGGCGTTCTTGGAGCTCTCTCTGCCGGCCAGAAACATAACTTCACCGACTCTGTCCACCGGAACATTGTTGAACACAAAAACTCGGCCGGCGTAAAAAATCGTCATTTGGGACGTTTGAGGCGTCGCCATGGCCGATTTACAGACACTAAAACAAAATTTTCCCTCAAACAATAAATTTCTCAAAAAAAAAAAAAAAAAAAAAAAAAAAAAAAAAAAAAAAAAAAAAAAAAAAAAAAAAAAAAAAAAAAACAAGACGGTCGAGAACTCAGTTCATTACACACCTCGAATCGACGTCGTTTGAGACACCAAATCCAGCTTGCTGAGGGAACAAATCCAAAGACTTCCGATTCACCATTTTTCCCGGCTGATAGAAGAATTCCGGCGCCGAACCTACAAATTTCAGTTTCTCCCAAATCAAAACAAACCCCTTAAAATAAATTCCAATCCCAACCCACAAAACCCACACAAATCCTCACCGTTTTTCCGCCACCGATAGGCTGAGAAACCCGTATTCAGATCCCCGCCGGAAACCAACATACCACCGACGGGAACAAAACCTCGCATCTCCGGCGAGTTCGATGCCGATCTCTGAGAAGAAACCCGAGAGAATCCGGAAGAACTCGACATGGGTTTGAACAATAAAAACAGAAAAAAAAAAAAAAAACCAGAGAATGGAAAAAGTTTTGATCTTAAAGAAGATGATGAGAGTTTTTATAAAATAGCTGCTGGAGGTGGGATTCATTAATGGTCGGACTCGGACATAAAATAAAAAGTTAAATGAAAATTTAATTCCAAAAAAAAATATAATAAAGATACGAGGAATATGTGGAGTTTTTACTTGGCGGTTTCCAGCAAATGAAAAGAACCATAAAAAAAAAAAATAAAGGAATAAAGCGTTTGATGCAGCATTTCCAACACGTGTTCTTTGTGTTCTATTTGAACTAGTTTGCCATTCCTTGGTGGGCCCGGTGGAAGGTTAAATTGGTCATTTCAGTTTGATGAAGATGCTTCTGGATTGAAATTCCCCGTGGTTTAAATTTAAAATTCATTTCCATCCTTTTTATTTTATTTTTCTCTTATTTTAAGCTTTTAAAAATATATTTATTCTTATTATTATTATTTGACCATTATCCATTAGGAATAGTATAAAACACAGTAATAAATAATAATAATAATAATAATAATAAATAAAAGTACGCTTTATTAATGGACTAAGATTTTATGGACATTATTATCTCTTTAGTTTGCACTCTCGTCCCGTGAGGACTAAAGTTTGATATTTTTAAATAATTGAAGGACTAAATAGAAATATTGGAGACTATTTAGGATATTTTTTAAGTCAATAACTTTTTTATTCAAATCCTTCCAACTATATAGGGCTTAACGTGACATCTACATTTAATGTTTATCTAAAAAGTCGTATGTGATCTCTTTTTCAAACAGGTGTAGTGGTCATGTTGAGTGTTCAAAGAACGGATAATTCTTTTGGAATAACCGGATGATAAAAAAGTCCGAGATATTCCACCTTTCCTTCCTTGTTTGCCTAAAAATATTCGTTTATGGTTGAATTGGTACTAGCTTTGATGATGATGCGGAGACAAATAACTTTTAGCGTAAATTTTTTAAAATAAAATGCAACATTAATAAAGAAATACTTTATTGTGTTGGAGAAGAGAAGAGAGTGTTATTACGAGATCCCATTATGACCGGAGAGAGGTGAACGAAATATTTCGTACTAGGGTGTGGTAATCTCTTCCTAACAAACGCATTTTAAAACCTTGAGGGGAAGCTCATAAAGGAAAATCCGAAGAGGATAATATTTACTAACGGTGGACTTGGACTGTTATAAATGGTATTAGAGCCAAACACGGAGCAATGTGCTAGTAAGAACATTAGACCTTTAAAGGGTGGGATTGTGAGATCTCATGTCGGCTGTTGAAGGTAACAAAGCATTTCTTTAAGAGTGTTAAAATCTCTCCCTGGTGTTCACATTTTAAAACTTTGAGGGGAAGCTAAGAATGGAAAGCCCCAGAAGGACAATACTTACTAGCGATGGGCTAGGGCGGTTATAAATGGTTTTAGAGTCAGACATCGACATTGGTGGATGTGCCAGCGAGGACGTTGGACCCTAAAGGAATTGGATTGTGAGATCCCACATTAGTTAGAGAGGATAATAAGGGTGGGAAAACCTTTCCCTAATAGACGTGTAACATTTCTTATAAGAGTGTGAAAACCTCTCCTTAGTAGATGCGTGAACTCCCAACCGGCTGGATAGTGAGATCCCACAACGGTTGAAGAGGGAAATGAAGCATTTCTTATAAGCATATGGAAACCTCTTCCTAGTGAATGCGTTTAAACCTTGAGAGGAAAGCTAAGAGAAAGTCCAAAAAAGACAATATCTGTTAGCGATAAACTCAAGCTCTTACCGGTATAATCTCAAATATTTAAACGGGCACATCCATTTACTCAATTTCCACGTGTTCCATATGCCACTTTGTATTATCATTAATGTTTTCTTATATAAGTAATGATCTGAATCAAGAAAGCCAATGATTTGAGCTCACTTTCAGTACAAATTGCCAATCAATCCATCCCACTTTGCCAACATCCATCTTTTTCACAGCCCCACCACCACCAAACTCTGCTACCTGCAAGTTGAATGAAGAACAGCCATAGCCATTCAAATGAAATGGAACCTACACATTAGAGAGAGAAAGAGAACAAAAAATAACTCAGAAATCAAAGCTATCTATTCTAATGAAAAAAGGGTTCCTCTGTACATCTCTACCAAACAAAAAAAATGCAAATTTCAGACATAAAATAGACATGAGAGTCTTTAACTGGTGTTAAAAGAAGAACAAGAAGGAAAAAAAAAACAGTTTTTAGTGGTTTGATCAAATCAGCTAGCTGCTACTCAAAAGTTGTAGTCGATATCTGTTGCATTTTGAGAAGCCGAGCGTTTGATTAGTCGTTCATGCTCGTCGTAACGGTCGAGGTTGACACAAGGAGCAGGGAAGATGGTTCCTATAACTCGTCCTTCAACAAATGCACATTGGAATATTTGTTTCTTTTTGTGTGTCATTCCCACAGACATATCCCTGAATGTCACATTTCTTACTGGAATGTCTTCACTACCGTGCATTCGAACGGGCACTCGAACTCCCTGCCCATGTATGCTCGTGAAGCTTATGTCCTTCAGCACTGGAACTGCCTTTGGGTCATATCCTTCGTCAGGGTGTTCGTTGTAGTCTGTCTTTACGACAATCCCAACACGTACAACTTCGAGGGTCAGATTTCGATAAGTAATGTCTTTCACATATCCTCCTCTCCCTGGAGCTGTCTTGATCCGAACACCTCGCCTGGAGTTCCACACCACGACATTCTCTACGGTGATGCCTGATACGCCACCCGACATCTCGCTACCGATCGATATCCCAGCACTGAAGAATTTCAACCAAAATGATGAGTTAGCTATCTTTTCATACGACGTGAATCTAGTGGATATGTGTTTTGATCACGAATGGATGCGAAATATTTACCTAACCATAGATTGAACAACGATGTTTCGGATTCGTATGTTTCTCGAGGGTTGCCCATAAGCAATGCCATACTGATCCCAACCACTCTTGATTGCAATGCCATCGTCTCCAACACTTATGTAACAATCCTCAATCACCATATCTTCACATGAATCTGTTTATGAAAATATACAGAATGGAGCAAGCAGTTATCAAATGACCATTTATAAAGTTCAAATAATGACCGATTTAGAATGACTTTCTAAGTGCTTAAAAAAGTGTTTTTAAATGCTTCAAAAGTCATTCCAAACCCGTTCGTAATTTAGCAAGGACATAGAACGATTTTCCTATGCTTCCAACTAACTTAGGTTAAGCTCCAAATCAAATCGACCCGAACGCATCAATATCCTACCCCTTAAACTCAATCATAATGCACGTCATTAGGCCGGTGCCACCTAATCTAGAAAACTGAGTTACAGACCCATCTTCTGCGTATAAAGTTATACTGTAACAGCCCAAGCTCACGGCTAGTAGATATTATCCGCTTTGGCCTATTACATATCGCTGTCAGTCTCACCCTTATAAAAAATGTTTCATTCCCGTCTCTAACTGATGTGGGATCTCACAATCCACCCCTTTTGATGCCCAACGTTATCACTAGCACTCGTTTCCCTCTCCAACCGACGTGGGATCTCACATATACTATGGAAAAACTAAAATGATCTTTGGTCCTTAGTTCGAGGTATCCAACATTCATCTAATACACAAACTAATGCAATTTATCGACATCAGCACAAGGAACGACTTAAACTACTCTACATTTACTATACAGTAGTCGCATCATTACATTAAACCAAGCATCCGATTGGGAAACGATATAAACAAAGCACTAAAGCTTACCAGGATCTATTCCATCTGTATTTGGTGCATCATGTATCGGAGCCAAGATCGTAACATTCTGGATAGTAACGTTCTTACAGTCGTATGGATGAAGAGTCCAAAATGGAGAGTCGCGCAAAGTTATATTGCTGATCAAAATATCCCTTGACCACATGATCTGAACAAGGGGGCCCCTTGTATGGTTCAGAAGCTTTTGGCGAAATTTCTTCCACCATGTTTGACCCTGTCCATTTATGGTACCATTATTCCCTGTAAGTCATGACATATACACAATCAGAAGTCACAAATGGTTGAAGCTTCAACAAGTTTATGCTGAGATTCCCAAGCAAGGATTAACAAAAAAGTAACTAAACAAAGAAATCTCGATCAACCTGACCTGTTATCACGACATCTATGAGATTTTGACCATGGATCAAACTCCCGTAACGAGGTCCAGCGTGCTCCCTTCCGTACCCATAGGAAGGCAAAGGAGGCATCAGTGGCCAATATTTTTCATCCTGTGACATGAATAAGATTAGCCAACATTCATCCCGTTTCTAGAAGCTCATTGTAGAAACTAACGAAGAAATAATAAACGCTATAATGGTTAAACGAGATGACCGAAACAATCCATTAGTTTAACTAGAAACTACTGGATGATGGGCACTATGAGATCACATCGGTTGGAAATGGGAACAAAACATTTCTTATAAGGGTATGGAAACCTCTCCCTAATAGACCCATTTTAAAACCATGAGGCCGACAATGATACATAACGAGTCAAATTAGACAATATCTACTAACGGTGGGCTTGGACTATTACAAGTAGCATACTAGACAAAATGTTGAAATACAAACACGACCATATAAGATTACATATTCAAAACGACATGCGAAAACCTTCACGGTACTCGAGCAGGGTGGTCTTGTTGAAGAATAATTTAACGTTACTACTACCATCTTTCCATGGATAAATAGGTGAAGATGGGGATGGAAGTGCACAAATAGTTACGTTCTCGTGGGCAGCAGATAATCGAACAATCGCCTATAGCTCTCGTAACATGATAAAACTTTCATCATTCATAATTGTGGAATGTCCAAAGGTCTAGCTCTTGATAGCTGCTTCTAGGTTCTTGATTTTAAGAACACTCAAGATCTTACAACCAATCTAGTACGAATTCATAGCCTAAACTATGCATATCTACTGATAATTTTCACTACTCAGCTTAATTCAAAATGAGTATCAATAACAACAGTAATTGCTAATACATTATGGCGATCCTAACAAGTTTAAACAGAAGAAGCCAACAATTCCATCAAGTTATTCCCAGCAGCACAGTTCTAACCAAATTCAAACAAAAAATTTAACGAAATTCAAGTTGAAACAGACCTGAATCCCCAATATAACAGCATCTTGATCAAGAAACAAAGTCAAATGACTAGTGAGATTAAAGGGAGCCGTAAGCCAACGGCCAGGAGGAACATTAAGCTGTCCGCCGCCTCTGGCCCGCCACTTCGAAATGGCATAAATGGCATTCGCGAAGGCCACGGTATTCAAAGTGACCCCATCGCCCACTCCTCCAAAATCCGTCAAATTAAACGCAACAGGCCGCGTCCTCGGCAACGGCCTGAACGGGACACTCCGGTGGAAAAGGAACTCATCATCAATAGTGCACTGCCAAAGCAACATCGAAGCCACCGCCATGATCCAGAACACTGTAAACATCGTCCAGTACGTGGAGATGAAACCCGGAATGCATCGCTTGAACTCAGTCCTCTTGTTGTTGAACCGCCCACCGTGAATTGAGGTCTCAAACCTCATCAACACGATGCCGAATTGATTATGCACCGAAATTAGTGACTAATGAGCATAATTAATAAACTGGGTCGGTTTGTGTTGCAGAATCACGAAGAGGAGTGATCTAGCAACGGAATTTGGAATTCAGAAGCTCGAAACAGTAATTAAGGAATAGGAGAAGTTATTAGTGATCAAAATATGTGAAATATTTTGAAGATCAGTAAAGCTCAACTGGAAGATTGGTGTAGTTGAAGATTTTCGAGTTTAATCCAGAAGTTGGGATTTCTTATAAATTCTAATCTTCAAATTTAAAAAATAAGATTTAAAAAAAAATACAATATATTATTTATTGAAATTAAATTTTTATAGATATTATGGTTTGTTTTTTTTTAAAAAAAAATTAAATTGTTATTAAAAATACAATAGATTTATTGACAAAATCAGATTTCCAAATTAATTTAAAATTAAAATCTAATTTTATTCTGTTTTGAATTTTTAATTTAAATCAAATATTTTTTAATTTTATAAAAGAATGTTAAACATATATTTTTATATTGAAAAAATTAATACAACATAATATATTTTTGAAATAACATAAATATGTATTTAATTATTTAATATTGATATATTATAAAATATTAATTATTTTATATTAGAAAAAATTAAATAAAAGTTCCTAATATAAATTCACACACCAATTTTTTATAATTCTAAAAATATTTTAAAAAACACTAATTAATTTATTTAAAAAATCAATAAAATTAAAATATTAATTGACACGTTTATGATTTTTGTTCCACACTCATTTATTATTTTTAAATTAAATTTTAAATAATTTAACCATTCAAAAAATAAATTTAAATTATAATTAATTTTGATTTTAAAGCCCCTACTATCGTGTTATTAATGGACCAAAAATAATTATTGAAAATTTGTATGTAAATCTAACCCTAATAGATCAAAGCTCGAACGTGTCAAAAGCTTTCCAAATTTTGTCAAAGTTTTTAGAAAGTTCATTTGGGCTCGGTACGAAGTTGTTGATAAATATAAATAGATATTTTAATGTGTTTTTATTATAAAAGCACGATACTAGTAGATGTTGGTTCCTCTCTCAAACTGATATTGAGGATCTCATAATGAACTCTTTGAGTCAGCGTCCTTGTCCCCCACTTGAATGAATGTGAGATCTCACAATTTACTCTCTTGTGGCCCGCATCTTAGTTGTCACAACACCTTTGATAGCATGTAACAACCTAATTGTCACTGTTGGAAGATAGGAAGTCTTCATCAGCTAATTTAGGGAATGATCCTCGGTTTATAAACAAAGAATACTCTCCCCATTGGTATGAGACCTTTTGGAAAGTCCAAAGTAATGTCATGACAGCTTATACTCAAAGTTGACAATATCATATCATTGTGCAGAGTCGTGTTCGTCTAACATGGTATTAGAGCTATGCCCTAAACTTAGTCATGCCCATGCCAATAGATTGGTAAATTCTCAAATGTCGAACAAAAAACTCCAAAAGAAAAGAAAAGGAGTCGAGCCTCCTCGAAGGCAGCCATGCCTACTCAAAGTGGACAATATCATATCATTATTAGAGCTTATGCCCTAAACCAACTCAATTAATGGCATTTTTTTTTATATATGTATATATATATTATCCTCAAGAGAAAATATCCATACAGACTTCAATGGCCATTCATGATATGCATAAAGCTGTTCACCAATCTTGTTTTATATTATCCGGCCATGGCCCTCTCCATTTCTTCCACTGCGCTCTCATCACTCCCAATCAGGTAAACCCTAAATCCCATTTTATTTCATTAATTTCTCCAATTTTTTATTCTCAAATTTCTGTTTCTCAGCAGAGAATCATCCCACAGTCACAGAGCACTCAATTTCCCCGGAAAATTCCCAAAATACAATCTCCGGCGAGGTTCTTCTCATCTGAACGCTGCAAAATCCGGCGTATCTAGCGTCTGTGAACCGCTCCCTCCAGATCGACCCCTCTGGTTCCCCGGCAGCACCCCCCCTGAGTGGCTCGACGGCAGGTTAATCCTAACTTCCTCACCCCTAATTCGTTCTATCTTGATGAATGTTTAAGCTCTTTCTCGCTTTTCAGCCTTCCCGGCGATTTCGGGTTCGACCCGCTTGGATTGGGTACGCCCTTCTCTCGTTCTTTGATTCATTTTAAATTTCTTTGTTGCTGTTCGAAAATTTCATACTCTGTGATGATCAGGATCCGACCCAGAGCTCCTAAAATGGTTCGCACAAGCGGAGCTAATGCACGCGAGATGGGCAATGCTCGCAGTGGCCGGAATCCTCCTCCCCGAATGGTTCGAGAGCTTAGGACTGATTCAAAATTTCTCCTGGTACGACGCCGGAACGCGAGAATATTTTGCAGACCCGACGACATTGCTGGTGGCTCAATTGGGTCTAATGGGGTGGGTAGAGGGGCGGCGGTGGGCTGACATGGTTAACCCAGGATGCGTAGACGTGGACCTCAAACTACCTCACAAGAAAAAGCCAACACCGGACGTGGGCTACCCCGGCGGGTTCTGGTTCGACCCGATGATGTGGGGCAGGGGATCGCCGGAGCCGGTCATGGTGCTGCGGACTAAGGAGATCAAGAACGGGCGGCTGGCGATGCTGGCGTTTGTCGGACTGTGGTTTCAGGCTATTTATACAGGGCAAGGTCCGCTGGAGAATCTCGCCGCCCACGTTGCCGATCCCGGCCACTGCAACATCTTCTCGGTAACGACAGTACTTGTCATGAATCTTGGGTTTTAGCTATGGCTAATGGAAATTGTTGTTCTTACAGGCATTCAGCTCCGGTGGAATTTGAGCTCAGATTCAGAGATCGGTTACATCCAACATCCGACACAAGTTTGTAATTGTGACTGTTTCAAAATATTTGGATATCTATATTCTTCATTGATTATGTTACATACATTTAAGGATTTAATTTATGTCATTTTGATTATATTATACTAACATGATATTGGAATGTGATAACGAGTAGAAGATGTCATCGTATACATTTAATTGTTGTTATTACCGACTATTTGTGGGAGAAGACTGGAGCTACTGGTCCAAAAGTTGTCGTTGAGAAGGGTTGCCCACTAATGATAACAAAAGAGATGAAGAATGTAAGAAAGCTCGAGTAAGAAAACTGCACAATGATTGTAACAGTCGAAGCCTATCGTGAGCAGATATTGTCCACTAATCTGTTACGTTTAAAAAGCGTATGCTAAAGAGAGGTTTCCACACCCTTATAAGAAATGCTTATTTCTCCTTCCAGACGGCTGGTATCTGGCTTTGAAACCATTTGTAATAGCTCACATTCATTACTGGCCAGACGCATTATAAAATTGTGAGGCTGACAACAATACGTAACAAGTCAACGCTGAAAATATGGACGTGGACTGTTACAATGATTCTCTACATTCACCCCATGAAATCATCATGCACCTCTCTTAATCAATCATCATCATTCAAACCATCCACTACAATAGTTTCGACAAAAGAAACTTCCTTCGAGATTGTGTGAAGGAGACAATAGTTGATCATCTTTATGTAATGATAAGTTAATGTTGTTTAAATTGATATTAATGTTTATTATAATATAATTATTAATTTAAAATTTCTTTAGTTGAATAAAGGAGTGCTCAGCCTCATAATGTTGACTAAAAACCAAGGTTTCTTTTGTATAGAAAAATCGAACAAGAATCAGAGCATATATTAGTAATATATTTGATGAAATATAGGCTGTGAATCTTGTGATCTTCTGTGTTGTGATCTTCAGCTGTGTTGCTTTCGGTTGAAAGAGTTGAGAGAAGAATCAAAATGGGTACTGCATCAGAAATTGTGGCGAAATTGAATTTGAAACCTCATCCAGAAGGCGGTTTTTACTCTGAAACTTTCAGAGACAAGTCCGTTCATCTCTCCAAATCTCATCTCCCACCGGAGTGTAAGTTGTATTTCTCGATCATGCCTCCATTGATTTCTCTGTTGTATCTTCGCTTTGATTCGTTTCATTGCACGGAATCGAAGACCGAGTCCTGATTTCACAGTCTTCGCTCCATTTCCCTGGATTTTTACGAATCTAGAACAGGATCGCTTGTCTTGTTTTCCTGAAATCGGATTCTGAGAATCAAGCATGATCTTGTATACTTGTCACTGTTCTTCGCTGGCCAAGTTTTCGTCTATTGGATTTTTCCTTTTTAGTCGATTTTGACTTTATTCTGATGCAGACAAGGTTGATCGAGAGGTCAGCACGTGCATATACTTTTTGGTGCCGTCTGGATGCATTTCTGCTCTTCATCGGATTCCATGTGCAGAAACTTGGCATTTTTACTCGGGAGAACCTCTTACGGTAAGTTTATAATTATGGCATATCATGAAGCACTGTTTTCTCTATGTTTCTGATTGAATATTTCGCTGTTCTACCAATATTATTCGCTTTTCCGTTACATAAACAGAAGATTCTATGGTTCAGACAGGTTTTTGTTTGATATGACTTTCTTTCTTCCTCTCCGCACTTCGATACTCGACTGCGATGAATTTGACATGCTTTCTTGTGTGTTCGATCACATTTTAGAAGTATATTTAGGGTTTGTGAAGCACTGTAATGGCAAATTATATAAGTGATTCGAAAATGATTTCGGTCAAGCATTATATTGAGAATCAACGTCAATGTGAGTCTTCAAAATTGATTTTCAATCAATATAGTTTTCTCAATAGTGATTTGTTTTTGTTGCCAAACACTCAAGCAAGTGATGCTGCATATATAAACATAACTTGCTTCTTTCTCTACATCCATGATAATTAAGAGACGGTCATTGTTCTAGGACAGTTGCACTAATTCGTATGCTTAATGGAAAGCGAACTGTGGTTGGAATGCTGATTTTCTGCTATCCATCTCATTTATTGTTCTACACATTCAATGCTATCAAGCTTTGCTTTATCCTCGTATAGGTAGCCTTCTCTGTTCTTATCTCACCTCTATGATGATACTGCCCTTATTATTGTAATTATTACGTTGAATTCAGATACTGGAGTTGAATGAAGAGGACGGTCGAGTCAAATTGACTTGTCTTGGGTCTGATTTCGTTGGAAGCAATCAATTACTTCAGTATACAGTGCCTCCTAATGTCTGGTTTGGTTCTTTTCCAACCAAGGACTTCAATATTTCTGCAGATGGGACTGTGACTAAAGCTGCTCCAAGGGACTCTGAGAATCACTACTCACTTGTGGGCTGCAGCTGTGCACCCGCTTTCCAGTTTGAGGACTTTGAATTGGCTAAACGTTCTGACCTTGTTTCTCGTTTTCCCGATAGTGTGCCTTTCGTCTCTTTGCTCACGCTAGATGCCTGATTCGACTGAGGAATATACTGCCTTTTTTTCGGGAAACTATTGCTTAGATTCTAATAATGAGGATATCTGGATTGTATGCTGTGATTTTGAACTTTTACTATTTTTAATATTGTGCTGTAGTTTGAGGATTTAATGCAGTAGATTGTGTTCTAGTGGAACTCTTTTTTGGCTAACTTAAGCTAATGAAAACAAAAAAAAGGCTCTTTTTTGGGACGAATCTTGTCATCCCAATGTATTTCAGGTTCTGTAGATGGTCCCCGCTGTACAGAAACAGAAACGAACCCATTGCAAAAGGAAAAACTTAGAAAAAGACCTGACTTTCTCTTTTTGTTGGTTCAAGGGTAAAGAGTATTGGTAACTGCAAAAACATGGAGAGAGATCTTACCTCTCTTTTTGTGGGTTCAGGTGTAAAGAATGTTGGCCATTGCAAAAAGATGAGAGAGAGAGAGAGAGAGAGACCTTACCTCTTTCATTTTTATGAGTTAAAATGTAAAGAATATTAGTCATTTTTTAAGTTCTTGCAGGCTTCTCTTGTCACCATTTGATTTTTCAACTTAGACATGCCCCTAATTTAGTTTCTGCCATTTAGAATATTCTCTAATGACAGTGTCAAGATGTGAGATCCCACATCGTTTGGAGAGGGGAACGAAGCATTCCTTATAAGGGTGTTAAAAACCTTAAGGAGAAGCCCGGAAGGGAAAGTTCAAAGAGGACAATATTTACTAGTGGTGGTTTGGGTATGTTACAAATGGTATCATAACCAAGACTGGACAATGTGCCAGGGAGGACGCTGGGCTCTCAAGGGAGGTGGATTGTGAGATCCTATATTGGTTGGAGAGGGGAACGAAACATTCCTTATAAGGGAGTGGAAACCTTTCCTTAGTAGACGCGTTTTAAAATGTGAGACTGACAGTGATAAGTAACGGGCCAAAGCAGACAATATCTGCTGGCGATAGGCTTGGGCTGTTACACAAGATTTCTAGGTAGAGCATAAGCTGTCTTACATACGACTAAGCTTAGTATTAAGAAAATTGGGATTTCAACATCTTTTACTTTTAGGAACAAATTCTGATCCTCTTTGAAAGGAAGGTTACAAAAGAATTATTCATCTGGGTGGAGTCCTTTTGGTTTACTGTGTGATTTTATACAACAGACACTGCAACTGTCATGAACATCTTCAGGTATTCAATTTCATTTCCAAAGGATATTACTGTGGTATTTTCCAAAAAGATAAATTCAAGCTCAGTTTCAATTCTTCCAAACTGTTAGGTAAATACAACAGGTAAATGTTCAAACAAGCAAGCAAGCAAGAAAATGATGTCTTGTGATCTTTTCTTCACATGGCAGGTAGCTTCTCAGATTTCTAAAACGATATCTGCACACGAAAATGGAAACACACAATCAGGTTAGCCTTTAAATACAGTTATAGAATTCTGTGTGTATTAGTATTATGGCAAAATCATATTAGCATATTGTGTTTGTGATGGAAAAAGCATGCATGGTTGATGGAACTAGAAAGTTGATCCATAGGATACTGATTATACTGTTAATACCGACATTCGGAATCAGTCTGGACCCATTTAATTCCATCGCCAGTCTTGTCATCTTTTTCGTCTTCACTTTTGTCTTTTCGCTTGTTTTTCTTCCTCAGGTACTTCTTCATGGATGATGTTTGGACATTGAAGCTTTGGGGGTATATCTTCTTATGGAGTATTGTTCTCAACATCTGTTACTTGCAGAAACAGTTATCAATATTCGAATACAAAAAGATATCAACGCTGATCCCACCAGAACAGCTATCAGAGAATTTGAGCATTGATTGATCTATGTTCTTGATTTACCTTCTCTATTTTCAACTCCAAAGTTCGGGTTCTCAGAGGAGGAGCAACTGCAGCTGGTGCGATACCGCCTCCACAGACGAAAATTTTCTTGAGAAGGAGAGATAAAGTTCTTTTGCCAATAAGTGTAGTGTCATTAGCTTCCATGCCCATATCTTTGCCTTTACTGAGTATGACATGCTTGAAACTTTCGCTCTCATCAATTAACTCGTCCGAATATGGTTCATTTTTTGTTATGTCTGATTCGAAGCTTAATTGTCTGGTAGGAAATATGTTTGATGAACAATGCTTGCTGACTTCAAATGCCAAGGATGGGTCCATTTGCTTAAGGTGTTCATCCAATAACAGATTGATCTCTTTGTGAAGTTTTCTTATTTCTTCTGGTGTAAGATCTTGAAGATGTTGTTGCAGGGGAGATGATGGATTCTCTTGAAACCTTTTTGTGTGTGCTTGGTTCAGATTATCATCTCCAAAGGTTCCGATCGCCAGCAACACACGAGGCCAGCTGGTGAATTCTTCTGAGTGAGTTTTATGAACTGGTTCATCTGTTTGAGATAGAATTTTAAGTTCACCAGTTTCAAAACGAGTTCATGCTGCAGATTGAAAGGAAAACTAAAGGAGAATATGACAGTTCTTTCTCACCCTTGATTGAATTTGAAGTTGTTATTTTTCCCTTTTTGCCATTAGGCTTCTTCCCTTTCATCCAATTCAATATCTGTGCAAAAACAAGTCATAGTTAATCAGGAAGAGTAGAGCACCAAGCTTGTAGGACAAAAACTAGACAATACTTTCTTGCATTAACTTACCCCCATCTGTCAAAACTTAAGTTCGCTACCCGATGCACCCTCTTCTTCTTCCTCTTTGTGAGCTCTAGTTCGAGTTCGAATTCTTGTTGATAATGCTACATAGAGCCAAGTCGATGGAGATATACACACGAGAGAAAACAATCCCTTTAAGTTTGGGCTATGGATCCCACAACTGGCACAAGGATTGCATGCACCAAGGCAATATGAGTGCAAAACACTTTATATAGTGAAGAGAAATGTGAGAAATTCCGCAACCAAACTACTAGCTGCCACTGTTTCAAGTTCCAAAACGCTGACTCTCTTTCTTTCTCTCTTGGGTTTGTCACATATTTGCCTCCTTATTACAATGTCTTTTTCCCTCGTATAAGTATTCAATCTCTCGTCTTTTCCATCAAATTTGTATCCATTATTACTCGATGTGTATCTTATGATTATCAAATTGATGCAGAAAATCCGGGAGGCTGCTGCTGATGCGAGTGCATGAGGAAGATGGACAATGAAGAAAAGGACATGAGAGACTGAGCTATCATGCACGAGGAAGATATCAGGAAAGAACATCTCTTCTACCGAAAATATAAAATAACATATCCAGTGGCCAATGAAAAGAGGTGAGGGCATTTCACTTACGTTATATATATTATATTATATAGCCCACATTCTCGTGGGAATGTCTCTTACTCACCCAACCAATAGTGGCGCCTTCTAAATCTCACTAACATCGATTCTAACGCCAAATATATTTTTTTTTAAGACACTCCAACTTGAACCATCCCCTTCTATTTCCTTCCCTGTTGCGCAATTTTATCAGAATCTTCCAAAATCAGCAGCCTTTTTTTCTTTTTCTCTCTCTAATAAATTGTTTCTCTCCATCTCTCTGATAAATTGATTAGTCACCATGCAAAGAAGTGTGCAGGACACCATTTGGGCACGTGAAGCTGTCCATGGCATGCATCATATGGACGGTGGACCTTTAAGCAAGCTCATATGGGACCATCGAATAAGGCTTTACAGAAGGAGCAGGTGAGAGTTGTACAAAAATAATGCTTGTTGAATGAGGACCCTACACTTTGATGTTACTCCTCCTTTCAAATTGCAACTGAGGAATGTTTTTAAAAGAGATTTCAAGACGATTCATGTCCATTTACGATTACATTTCGTTTGGTTTTTTATTATACGTAAATCTTGAAGAAGTATTGTGAGATCCCACGTCGATTGGAGAAGAGAATGAAACATTCACAAGGGTGTGAAAACCTCTCCCTGGCAAATGCGAGGAGAAGCTCGAAAGAGAAAGCCCAAAGAAGATAATATTTGCTAGCGGTGGGTTTGAGCTATTACAAATGGTATCAGACCCAGACACCGCCCAAATGGGCGGTCGACACGAGGCAGTATGCCAGCAAGGACGCTGGACCCCGAAGGGGGGTGGATTGAGAGGTCCCACATTGATTGGAGGAGGTAACAAGTGCCAACGAGCAAAGGGAGTGGATTGTGAGATCTCATATCAGTTGGAAAAAAGAACAAAACATTCTTTATAAGTGTTTGAAAGTGGTGTGGAAGTCTCTTCGGATTGTGAGATCTCATATTAGTTTGAAAGGGGAACAAAGCATTAAGTGTGTGAAAGTGGTGTGAAAGTCTCTACTTACGAGATGCATTTTAAAACATTTGACGATGACAATATCTGCTAGTGGTAAGCTTGAGCCATTACAAATATATATGACGCATAAACGGTAACATATTCGAATATCTCGTTCTTTTGGCTATTTATGAATAATTTGGCAATACCATCATAGAAACCAAACTATATAAACGGATATTTGTTAAATCATAGAAACCAAACTATATAAACAGATATTTGTTAAATCAAAAACCGACTCTTGTATGTATAGAATTCTAGAATGCTTGTGTACCTTACTCAGCTTGTGCCATTTGCAGGCAGATATAACTTCAACATGGGGCCATAACGTCGTCATGGGCATTATTAGCTAATCAGAAATGAAAAGAGTTTAAACCTCAGAAGCGACAATATAACACAATTATGAATACTTCTGATCAGATTGTACAATGACTGTTCTAATCCTATTCTTGAACTTTGGGTTCTTAATACACGATACACAACACACAACACATAATTCGTTGAAACGAACTGTGTAAAAGACACACCGTTTATGCAGCTATACTTTGTATAAATTTTGTATCAGGTGTACCTATGAGGCACTCCGATTGTCACAGCACATCTCTAAACAACAGTCGAAACATCCGAAGCAGGCGATAGCAGTGCAGAGTTGTGTCAACACGATTGCGCATTGATTGTTAATTTTGAGGCAGACTTGGATGCAGCAGGGGCAACAGCAGTAACTACACAAATTGCCACAACAATTAGAAGCTGCTTTGACCAATATTTCCGCAGCCTCAGGCTTTCGTTCTCCAGCTCCATGAGGAGTGTTTTCAGAAGTTGCTTCCAAGTTTCCAAAGCCAACCCCACCAAATGGTAACAGCATCATTTTGTCACTTCTGGGTGCTTCCATTTTCTCATAAGCATTCTTCTTCAACTGTGCAAGTAAGTTATTATAATAGGTAACTGAGTAACTAACAACCAAGTACCTGCAGCCAGCTTAAATTTGAGGCCATGGAGGTGGAAAGCTACACTTACCTGTTGCCCTTTAATTGTTTCACCGACTTTGTTTGTACTCTGAAATATGAACATTTGAGTATATTCGCTCATTACACCTGTCTTTGTGCTCATCTTTTCGACCTATTGAAGGTGCGAATGAAGGAACAGATATCATCATTTCTATCATTGCGAATTTCTAACTCAAAATAACTTGCAGGGCTAAGAAAATGGAAACAAGCAGAAGTCGGTCGATCCGGGAACAAGGTAAAAATCACAAACCATTTCCACCAGTTGTTTATTTTCTGAAAACCAGGCTTCAGCTGTGAGTAGTTCAATCTGATCCTTGATAAATAGCTGAAAAAGAAGAAATTGTAAGAATGAGTTAGTTTTTAAAAGTTAATACAAGTTTTTCTGTTACATTTAGTATCCAAATCTTACGTTTCTAGAAATACGAACATCAAGAATGTAACATAACCACCCGATAATGAGAAATTCAGATAGGTTTGACCATATATGAAGATTCTCTACCTTGTCAAGAGGAATATCCTTTGCCTGATGTACCTTCAAGTCTAAGACAATATTATCCAAATTGGCTAATAGGCCTTTTGCCTTAACAGTCTCAGGAAAATTTCCACAGTATCTGCCAGATACAGTCAGTAGACTTTCCGAAGAAAGGTCTGGAATGAAGGAAGGATAAACCTAAAACAAAAGCTTCGAATTAGAAAACGAACTATTGTTGACTTCCTGCTGCAGGAAAATTCATGGCCTAAATATGAGACGATGAACGTGAATACCTTGACTTCGTGTAGATCATCGAATGTGTCGGTAGCTATATTTACAAAAATGGTAGATATAGCTCTTTTGTACAACCTGCGCATTCGGGGTTCAACCGAATCTGAAAAACAAAATAGTTATAGAAGTATTGAGTCTGAGTTGAACAAAGTGGGAAAGCAAACTGAGATTAGAAGTCGGAACAATGTGAGCAACAATTCTACACGGTCAATATAAGAGGTAATTCAAAACCGTGTTTTGAATTTGTATCAAAGCATATAGATTTCGAACATAGATCGAACATTTATTAGAAGGTACCCACCTAAAGGAAAGAGGAAATACATTGAAGCATAGAACTCACCTAAATCATAGGCAGCATCACAATGTCCCCTACCAATCATTGCAAGCATCCTTAGAAAATAATAGTTGCAGAATATACCTGGTAGATACACAAACATGTTTGAAATATTCGGAAAAAATGTAGATACCCACGAGTTATAGAACGGTCAAAGCTCGAAGAAATTTTCGGGCACCTAGCCAATCCTTCCAGTTCTAGAAACATACCTATACCGAAAGTATATATACGTGGATGAACGGTTTGCCTTCCAGTTAGAATTTTTCTCATCACATCACAAATATGTCTCTCATTTTCAACAGCCCCATCAGTAACAAGAAAGATGATAGGAACTGAACCATCACTACCCCCATCATTAAGCATCTCGGTGGCCTGGATCATAAGCAAACGAGTGTCTTATGTTAATTAAGAAGAATATCGAGATGATAAAGAAGTAAGATTGGAGACCATTGTTAATGGAAGTAGGATATCAGTGCCGCCCCCTGCTATAAAGTTCATATTTATCCACTGAGACGCCCTTTCCACAGCATCCTCGGTGGCCATCTCCATCGACGCTGAGAATCGACGAACTTCGTCGTTGAAAGCAATAATGTTAAACATATCTTCTGGATGAAGCTTACTTAAGGCTGTGGATAGCACATTTTTCACATCATTAAGTGCCTTGCCTTGCATACTCCCACTTATATCAACAACAAATACTATCTTCTTCTTGAACACCTGTTGAACTCGTTAAGATGAGAAGCTATTCGATACGTTCTCGGGAATGATAACAAACTAAGAAGAAACCCCATTATACCTTCCCATGTTCCTTTCCTGGATACAAGTACATACAGAACATATCTCTTTGATCAACATCATCCATAGGAGGAGATTGTAGGAGAATCCCACCAGATATCTGACTCGAACAAACCTAAAACACGAAAGACGAACAAGTTTCAAAACATTTGAATGCAGATTCTTCTCAAGTATGACCAAATTGCTCTGAAACATACACTATACATGAAGCTAAAATCTTCTTTCGACCATGCAAGAACCTCAGATTCGTATATAAAGCTCAGTTTCCCGGGTTTTCTCATCGATTCCTGATTCCACCCATTATCAAAACAACATCACAAACTAGAACAACCACCAAAAACATCAAATACTCAACATGAAAACACAGACCTTTAAAGGATGACTCGTCGTCCTACACAAAACCTCAGCTGCCGAACCGACATTCACATTTAACGCTATCTTCTCCTTCTTCGACATCTTCTTTCCCGCAGGGATGACATACTCAGGAAAAGTAAATGGAACATCCAATGTGAGATTACCTTCTCTGTATGATAGTTTCTGAGACCACCTCATGGTAATAGACAAAGTGGTGCCCCCATCAATCTTGAAAAAGAACAAGAAAAAAGACCTCCATGAGTTCAAACAATAAGAATCAAAAGAACTTACAGACAAGATGAGTACTCAGAGGCTCCATTAATCACCTGTGGTATTGTAAGGGTATAAATATTAGAAGTCAAGATACCTCCCTCTACTCGTTCTGGCTTTTCTGCGACATTTTTAGGTATGTCTTCAAGTGTAATAAGTGAAGTGCGATATGATTTTCTAGGAGCATCCACCTCACAACCTAGAACTGAACCCTGTTAGCCAAATGATATAATTCCCTGAGGATTCAGTACCAGACAAGCTATGAAACAACCTTATCTTCTATGAAAAAACAAGAACAATCGAACCAATCGAACAAATTATATTTTAATCGAGCAAGTCCCTCTTAGAAATCACAACTCTCCACAATGGTATGATATTGTCCACTTTGAGCATAAGCTCTCAAGGCTTTACTTTGAGCTTCCTCCTCAACAATCCTCCTCTCGAACAAAGTACAACATAGAGCCTCCTCTGAGGTCTATGGAGTCCTCAAACAGCCTCCCATTAATCGAGACTCTGACTCTTTCTCTGGAGCCCTTGAACAAAGTACACCATTTGTTTGACACTTTAGTCACTTTTGATTACACATTCGAGGCTCACAATTCTTTGTTCGACATTTGAGGATTCTATTGACATGACTACGTTTAGGGCTTGGCTCTAATACTATGTTAGGAATCAAAACTCTCCACAATGGTATGATATTATCCACTTTGAGCATAAACTCTCTTGACTTTGCTATGGGCTTCCCCAAAAGGCCTCATACCAACATAGATGTATTCCTGGTATATATAAACTCATGATTATTCCCTAAATTAGTCAACGTGGACTCCCTCCCAACAATCCTCAACAAGTTGTATAGAGACTCAGTTCAGTTTTCGAGTTCATAATCATTTCCAGAGACAAAAACCCAGAGATTTACCTGTTCCCCCATTGGAATCGCAATCCGGCAATCACAGCTCCGACTACCCATAACGCAGTGAACCCTCCAAGATCCAGTGATCCGAATAATCGCTGTATCCAAATAGCAATCAACCTCGAGCTCAATCCCGTTCATCTGAAGCGGAATCAGCGCCGGTGGGTCGCAGCGGCCATGGACGTGGGGCTGATAGCTCGGAACATCGGGATTATCGACGATGGCAGGATTATCAATTACAGCATAAACCATGGGAGCCGTAGGAAGCAATGAACGGCCCATCCTATCCATCGTGGGGAGCGATCGCGGAGGCGCAACGGCGCGGTCTCTACCGAAGTACAGTCTTTTGGATAGCCGGAGGCCATCGTCGACGGCTTTGGCGAAATCTTCCGCCATTACAAGACAGAAACAAGAAGGAATTGAAAAAGCGGATCGATTCGACTCGTTTTCCTCTGTGGTTAATTGAAATTTCTAGCTCTGTGAATTGGGATTAACGGTGAAGGAATCGAGTTTTTTCCATCTCAGGAAGATTTCATGACAGTAACACAAAATTGTATCACTGTCATGAGATCGAGGCAACGCTGGAAACTTCTCTCTTTCTTTATCAAACTTTTATTTATACTCGACGATTGACTCAATGTGGCCTTTCATTCTGTCCTCATAATAAATATTAAAGATAGCATATCATATTAATTTATATCATCTCTTAGATTCTATTAAGAAAAAAAAGTTATTTTACGCCTATTCAAATTTATAATTATACTAATTAAATTTGTGAAGTTTCTTAGGTTGATCTATTTATACCATTTACAATCCTCCAACTCATTCATAGACGCTGACCACCTAATGTCAAGCCTTAGCCAAAACACATCTATGGGCAGTCCAAACGTCAATGCTCTAACCTCACGTGTTATTAGCTCATCCAAGCAAACGACCCAATGCCCTACTCACTCATGAACTTTATGCCTATTCAACTATTTAAACGTGTGACCCATGCTCAACATGGAGCCTACCAGCCATGCGGCTTGCCATAGTGTCAATCCAAGTCTCTCCTAACCTTAGCTTACCCCATATCAGCGCGTGTGAAGCTTGCTTCCAAAAAAGTCAACTAACCTTAACTTTGTGACTTTTCTTTAGCTACCAATAGTTTAAAGTGCTCAAATTGCATAAAAAATTCGTTCTAACTTTAATGTTTAAATTCCTATTAACTTTTGATTAATTTCATTGTAAGTTGATTATATGGATTTTAAGAGAATAATTAAAAAACACATATAAAAAAGGATGTGAGAGAATAATTATCTGTTGCCTTTTTTGTGGGACACAATAAATAAATAAATAAATAAATAAATATATATATATATTGTAACCTTAAATTATTCAAAGACATATTGTAATAAAATTAAAAGTTTACACGTTTCTAATTTTTTTAAAAAATTAAATAGATATGTATTTAAAAATTAGATGATTAAATTATTTTTTAAAAATATAAATAGGTACAATTGTAATGTCAAAATGTTTTTTTTTCCTGTCAAACTCATTGTTTATTTATTTATTTATTTTCTTAAATACATATTGTTAGGCCTCGTGCAGCGTGCATGAAAATTGCTGCTAAAAAATATTGTTTTAGGTTATTTTTTCAGGACTTTTCCTCGAGGCTTTAAAACGCATTTGGTGGGGATAGATTTTCACACGCTTTGTTTCCCTCTCCAATCGATACGAAACCTCTCCCTAGTAGACACATTTTTAAATTGTGAGGCTGACAACGAGCCAAAACGGACAATATTTGGTAGCGGTGTGTTTAAGCTGTTACATGTTATAACAACTCAAGTTCAATATTGTAGTCGTGTTGCGAAAATATTGTACGAACGACACTGAAAAATATAATATATTTTAATTTTAATTTTATTTTTTTTGTAAGAAAGAACAAATAAAACTATATATTCATTATTTTCTAACATACACATAGAGTCATAGACTGCCCAGAAATTCCAATGATCAAAGATTTAATCCAATTTTGCCTTTTCTTGTTCAAGGAGTCAGCCATTCAACTCGACTACAGTCATATTTTCGATTCATCCTTCTAGACAAATTCGACCACGTGATTCTTTCCCTATCTTTCCCTAATCCAATAAGAAAATGGGTCTCCACTTTCACTTGAAAGTATTGAAACCATTCATTCGCCGCCTCTTTTTCTGTCGCATCATATTCGGGTCAGTTCCTTCCCCTTCATTTTCCATGCCTTATCAATTCTGAAGCAGCCCATTAAACGAAACATTGAATTCCCCTTTTGAATCGTTTTGTTATTTGGGTTTTTCTTCTTCGATTTTGCAGATTTCACCGGTAACCATAATGGCTTGCGATCCGAACAATGGCGGTGAAATCGGTGCGGAAAATTCTCTCCAATCCATCTGTTACAAACGTGGATCCTTGCGGCTGCTCGATCAGGTAGTGTTCATTGGCTTTTTGTTCAGCACTTTCCTTCAAGCATGGAATTAGGACTCTTTAATTAACAGTGGTTGGTTTTGAACAGAGGAAGCTTCCTTTCGAAACTCGTTACCTGGACATCAAGGATTCAAAAGATGGATGGTAATTTCTTGCAATCTTTGTCTAATCTGTTCTTGTTCATAGTGTTTCTTCCTAACCCTTATGCTCTTTTGAACCCTTTTTGTTTTAAGATCATGTTCTTTTTGAACTTTGAAGATTTGTTCAATGCCATGAATATGAACTGCTAAACCTGAACTTCCATTAGCTGGGTGTTTTTGGGATCATGGGTTGAACTTCTAGTATATGGATTTATAAGAACTATATAACTGCAGGATTGAATGATGGTCTTGTAGATTCCTATAAGCATACGTGCACGTAAGCTCGTTTGAGCGCATCCTATTGTTAAGAAAAGGTTGAGCTCCTTGTATGTTTCTATGAGTGAGACATCTGATTGTTGAAACAAGCGTATCTAGTAAATTTTGTTGATGACTTTAGTTGTGAGATGAGTGGATTGTGAGATTCTACATTGATTGGAGAGGGAAACGAGTGCTATTGAGGACACTGGATTCTGAAAGGGGATGGATTGTGAGATTCCACATCGGTTGGAGAGGGGAACGAAGCATTCTTTATAAGGGTGTGAAAACCTCTCCCTAGCACATGCGCTTTAAAAACTGAGAGGAAGTCCAAAAGAGAAAGCCCAAAGAGGATAATATCTGCTAGCGGTGAGAGCTTGGGTAATTATAAATGGTATTAGAACCAGACATTAGGCAGTGTGTAGCGAGGATGCTGGGCCTTAAAGGGGGTGGATTGTGAGATCCCACATCAATTGGAGGGAGGAGCGAGTGTCATCGAGGACACTGGGCGCCGAGGGGGGTGGGTTGTGAGATCCCACATCGATCGGAAAGGGAAATGAGTGCCAGCCAGGACACTGGGCCTTGAAGGGGAGGGGTGAATTGTGAGATCCCACCTCGGTTAGAGAGGGGATCAAAGCATTCTTTACAAGGGTGTGGAAACCTCTCCCTAGCAAACGTATTTTACAAACCTTGAGAGAAAGCCCGAAAGGGAAAGTTCAGCAAACGTATTTTACAAACCTTGAGAGAAAGCCCGAAAGGGAAAGTTCAAAGAAGCAATATCTGTTAGCGGTAGACTTGGGCTGTTACATTAATAAAAGATTCATGATACTTCCTCAGTACTCTTCCAGAAATTACATCCTTTCTGTCTTCTAAACCAATGTCTTCAACGTCTATCATGATATTAATCGTCACAGCATAAAAATCTAACTTGTTGAATTCCAAGCATTTTTCAGCTTTGGTTGTCATCAGCATGTTTGGTGATATTCTAAAAAATCTGTATGTCAGGCATGCCATAAGGGATATGGTAGTACGCGGGGCGCCTGCCATAGCTATTGCAGCAGCCCTTGCTTTGGCAGCAGAACTGTACAACTTGGACGCTTTTAATGGGAGTCCCAAATATGCAGCTTTGTTCATTGCGGAGAAATTGGAGTACTTAGTCTCCAGGTTTTCTCGATTCATTATCAGTATTTTTTGCACGGATTTTTTACATGAAAGGCAATTTCAAATTGTTTTTGGCTATTCCTATTGGCTTTTGAACAGTAGCTTACATGTTTTTTCCGAATTTGTAGTCGGCCAACTGCAGTTAATCTTGGGGACGCTGCTATAAAACTTAAAGAAATTGTATCTCGGGCCGTCGCTATTTCTCCTGATGCCAAGAGTGTCTTCCAAGTATGAATTTGGGGATTCATTTGGCTGTTCAGTTTGAGTTGTTAATTGTTAGTTCTAAGCTTGGTTATGCTGAAATGTGAAGGATGCCTTATTTGTAAGCCTTTCTGACTATTTAAACTGGTCGAATAGGCATATATTGAGGCTGCTGAAGCAATGCTGGAGGACGACGTTGCTTCAAATAAAGCCATCGGGTCGTATGGAGCAACTTATATCCGTGATCAACAAAAATCATTGGCAAAACTTTCCATTCTAACGCATTGCAACACAGGCAGGCATAAATTCTAGCTCCTTCACACTCTTTTTATCGTTCTCCTTTTAACGCTTAATGCACCCTTGCTATGAAATTCCTCCGGACTAGCTATTGCTGATAGTTTTCACGTTTCAGTCTAGCAACGGCTGGATATGGTACTGCCCTGGGTGTAATCCGTGCTCTTCACTCCGCTGATGTGTTAGAAAGGGCATACTGTACCGAAACACGACCCTTCAATCAAGTGAGTGTCTAGTTTGGTGGTATTTGTATTAACTAGATGTTTTCTTTTCAAACTTATTATGGCCATTTCCTTGATTTGGATAACTTCGATCATTTCTCAATGTGAGATTATACATTGTTTGGAGAGGGAAACGAAACATTCCTTATAAGGGTGTGGAAACCTCTCCCAGTAGACGCATTTTAAAATCTCGCTGACGATGATACATAACGGGCCAAAGCGGACAATAGTTGCTAGTGGTGGGTTTGGGCTATTACAAATAGTATTAGAGCCAGACACCAGATGGTGTGTTAGGGAGAACGTTGAGCCCCCAAGGGGGTGGATTGTGATATCTCATATCGGTTGGAGAGGGGAACGAAACATTTCTTATAAGAGTGTGGAAACCTCTCCCTAGCTGACGCGTTTTAGAACCATGAGGCTGACAACAATACGTAACGAGCCAAAACGGACTATGTTTGCTAGCGGTGGACTTGGGCCGTTCCGTTCGACCATCTCTATTTTGGATTTGTGGACTATTGTGGATATGCCTTTTTAAGCATACTATTTATGCCTTAACTTTTGCCTATTATTGTAGGGATCTCGACTCACGGCCTATGAGTTGGTCCATGAAAAGATACCTTCTACCCTGATAGCAGATTCGGCTGCTGCCGCCTTGATGAAATCTGGAAGGGTGAATGCTGTTGTAGTTGGGGCCGATCGCGTAGCCGCGAACGGTATTTATGCGTTCCTTCATTTATGTACGTGTCCCAGCATCTGTTTGTCGAGGAAGAGTGTCTGAAAGTTCTATTCAATGAATTGCAGGTGACACTGCTAATAAGATTGGAACCTATAGCCTTGCATTGTGTGCAATGCACCACAACATTCCATTCTTTGTGGCTGCACCATTGACTTCCATAGACTTGTCCCTTTCATCTGGCGAAGAAATCGTTATCGAGGAAAGGTCTCCCAAAGAGTTGTTGAATACCCGTGGAGGGCTTGGCGAGCAAGTCGCTGCTTCTGGCATCGATGTCTGGAACCCCGCTTTTGATGTTACTCCTGCTCGTCTGATCTCGGGAATCATTACAGAAAAGGTCATTTTTTCAACCAGTTTCCTGTTTAGAAAACTTGAAATCATCCAACTTTGGTTGACATGTTTTATTGTTGCAGGGAGTCATCACGAAGGTGGGTTCTGAAGATTTCAACATAAAGGAGTTTGTTCAAAAGATTGCAGCAGGCACTCTTGCGCAGGTACACTAGAATGTTCTTGATGAAATAAATGTTCTTGTTCATCAGAATCAATAGATACAAGAACGCCATAGATCAAATGTCTGGCTATTAATGGCTCTCTTTCTGAAGTTCTAATAACAGAGCATATATACATATATCACTTGCTTGATACTCCGGCTTGGTTTCTAGTTTTCTTGTTTTTTTACATAATTGAAGAGAACTTTTGGAGTCAATATGCAATTCTCACTCGAGTTCTTCTTCTTCTTTGTACAAAACGTGCATTTTAAAACTGGGAAACTGATGAATCATGTTCTAATTGGTAAAATCACTTAAGAAATTAGTGATGAATCCATCAACAAAATTGTATAGCTTTGCTAATTTTGGTGTAAGATCCCAAAACCACTGTTAGAAGATATTGTCCGCTTTGACCTGTTACGTATCGTCGTCAGCCTCACAGTTTTAAAACGTGTCTATTAGGGAGAGGTTTCCACACTCTTATAAGGAATGTTTTGTTCCCCTCTCCAACTAATGTGAGATCTAACAATCCACCTTCCTTGGAGGCTCAACGTTCTCATTGGCACATCTCTCAGTGTCTAGTTCTAATAACATTGTAACTACCCAAGCCCACCACTAGTAGATATTATCCGTTTTGGCTCATTATGTATCGTCGTCACTTTCACGGTTTTAGAACGTGTCTACTAGGGAGAGGTTTCCACACCCTTAGAAGGAATGTTTTGTTCCCCTCTCCAATTGATGTGGGATCTAACAATCCACCTCCCTTGGAGGCTTTGCGTTCTCGTTGGCACATCTCTCGGTGTCTGGCGTTGATACCATTTGTAACTACTGAAGCCCACCACCACGAGTAGATATTGTCTGCTTTGACTCATTACGTATCATTATCAGTTTCGCGGTTTTAAAACGTGTCTATTAGGGAGAGGTTTCCACACCTTTATAAGGAATGTTCTGTTCCCCTCCAACTGATGTGGTATCTAACAATCCACGTCCTTTGGAGGCTCAGCGTTCTCGTTGGCACATCTCTCGGTGTCTAGCTTTGATACCATTTGTAACTACTCAAGCCCACCACTAGTAGATATTGTCCGTTTTGGCTCATTACACGTATCATTGTCAGTTCCATTCTAAAACGCGTCTACTAGAGAGAGGTTTCCACATCCTTACGAGGAATGCTTCTTCTCTTCTCCAACCGATGTGGGATCTCACAATAGACGCGGTTTAAAACTTTGAGGGGAACTCCGAAAGGGAACGCCCAAAGAAGAGGATAGTATCTGCAAGCGGTAAGCTTGGGTTTGTCAGAAACTAGCAATAACACTGTAGAAGAATGATAACTCGTTTTAGCAAATAGGATCAATGATTGAGTTGAACTATACTTGTTAGTCAAAGTAGGTTTTGATTGATATTGCTAGTTTCATTCTGATGATCAGTTTCGATACATGTAAGAACTCATCCAAAACAACCCGATTACACTCTGCCCATCTACCAAGGTACAAGAGAATCATCACCCGACCATAGTTCCTCTCCCAATATCTCAGGTCATTCAAACACTTCCCATGTTTTTCTTTCCTCTTCCTTTCCTTTTGCTGTGTAATCTTCAACGAAGGGACAGGAGAAGAAAGATCAGTCATGCTTAGCCTACAATGAAAAAGTGAAAATATCTTTAGTCCTGATCATAAAAACCAAACAAAGGGCCAAAACAGAACAAAACTGTTTGTGGTGCAGAGCAAGGAAGCTTTTAGAAAAGAAAAAACCAGACCGCCATGCACATCCATTTTGTAACCTTCCATCGATTCCAACACCAAAGAAGATTCCCTTTTTAAAAAAACATGGGAAGATACGACATGTGGCCCCCGACCATCGAGGAAGTCGACAGACACAGACGACAGCAGCTCCCAATCGGACGCTATGGCTCTGTTTTTGTTGCGTGTCGCATCACAAGATGATAGCATGGCTTTGCACATGGCAATATGGCTCTCTGTTTCTTTGAAATCCCATGTCGTTTTCTAATACCCAAATGAAAAAAAAAACTTCATTTTTCTTCATTATCAGCCCATAATCGGATTTGAAAGACAGAACCAAACAGTTTTTGATGATAATAATGTAACAATCTTGTATCTAAAAACGTTCCTGAATCCAAACATTGTTGGGACTCACGAGCTTAGAAACAGAGTCTTATCTGATCTGAATCAGTTCAGAAGAAGAACAAGAGGAAAGCCCCTGTTTTAACAGATGGGGTTTCTTTTTTTATGTTGTTTTTTTAAATACCTTAAAATCTCCGAGTTTTTTAGTCTCGAAAAATATAATTACCCATTATTTTGACTGCTTATTATAGCAATGCATTTATTACAAATGGGAAAGCGGCAACGCTTCAATTGTCAATAAATGATAAATCTTTATTTTGGTTGTCCTCTGGTTTTCTCTTCCTTTTCCAAAACAGAACACAGGAAGCAGATAAGACTTCGTTGTCATGTTACTGGCGATGGCGTTACCAAACTCCAACTCTCAGGCGGCGGCGGCGGCGGCGGCGGCGGAGGTCGAATGTGTGAAATGCTATTCCTGTGGATTTACAGAGGATTGCACCCCTGCTTACATCTCGCGAGTTCTTGACCGCTTCCATGGCCGGTGGATCTGTGGGCTCTGCATCGAGGCGGTGAAAGACGAAGTTGTGAGATCAGGAACGCTTATTTCCACCGAAGAAGCGTTAGCCCAACACGCGAGTTTCTGTCGGGAGTTCAGATCGTCCAACCCTCTGGATGAAACAGAGCACCCCATCTCCGCCATGGGGCGGGTGCTACGACGGAGCTTGGATTCTCCGAGAGTTCTCAGGTCAAATTCCAGTAGCGCAATCAAACTGGAACCGATCGTCGTCATCGGCGATTCAGCTAGACTCCAACGATCCGGTAGTTGCTTCCCTTCCTTGTCTAGCTAAATCAAAAACAGAGTATTTTCAAGCGACTAACTTGCTTTAGTGGGTGGGTTCAATTAGAGTTCTCCGACGATTTTAAAGCCATTTAACGAAATGGGTTTGAAAATTTGAGCGAAAACTGACCATTTTCTAGCGTTCTTGTTCGTCAAGTTCGTCATTATTGTAATAATGTAAATGGGAAATTGTGATAGAACAGAGCATTTATGTTTGCTTGAAAGTTGAAAGTGAAATAAATCGAAGTGTAGATTGAAAATTTAATGTAAATATTGGGAAGATTTGAAGAATATTTGCAATGGCGGTCGTCTGAGCTCTGTGCTGTTACCATTGTCTGAGCTACAAAGTTCTGTTACCATAGTCTCTACGAACTTTCTGTTCTATGTTTTGTCTCAATTTTAAGTAGTCTCGATAACAAAGTGGCCTTCGATACTTCGGTAAGTAAGCCTATTTCATAGAGAGCTTACCCCTTCACTCTTCATAGTAGTGACGTCTTCGTAGAAAAAAAAATTAAGAAGACAAACGCTATAACACTATTTCTGTTCGAATATATCGGGTAATCTTATTTAGATCCCAAATTATGATCGGTTCAATTTGTCGATTTTATTCATATCATATAAAAATGGTAGCTTACAAAATGTTTATTCCTTTTATAGTCGATTCATATTTTTAGATGCTCAGTTCATATTTTATTATAAATAAAAAAGTTTTGTTAGACATAAAATTTAATTTAATTTTAATATAATAATTAATTAAAAAATTTCAAAATTGATGACCTAAATTTCTGATTCACAAAAAAAAAATCATGCAAAATGATATTATATTAACTAATCTTTCAAATTGAAATTTTTTATATTAAAAAAAATGAAATTATATTTTAAAAAAAAAAAAGAAAAAAAAAAAAGAAAAAAAAGGAAGCACCTTGGAATGCTAAGCGAAGGGTATAAGTAATTTTCGTATGAAGCATCGTTTCATCGGGTCGGACAAGTTCAGGTTGGGGCGTCGTCCTCCGCCGTGTGTGTCGTCTCCGCCCCACCGCCAATCTTCCGCTCCAGCCTGCATGTCGTCTTCGCCATCGAACTGAATCACCGGTAACTTCCTCCACTTTCTCAATTTCTCTCCATTCTAATCCAACAATTTTCTGGTCATTCACGAGGTTTTCTCCTCTTTTTTCTTTTGCCCCTTTCTCATTTACTCTGCTAGCTCGAACTTCATCCCTGTATGTCCCTATGCTTGGATTCCATTTTGTTTTCCGATTGCTTTGCTGAAAGTATCGTTTGGATTTCGTCATCACCCACTAGGGTTTTGAATCTTTTGAAGTTTTGATGCCCATTTCTGTTTCCCTGTGTTTATTGTTATTTTTTGTTCCAGTTTTCTGTTATTGACGACCAATCGGAAGCATGTACTGGCTTTGTTGATTAATTGATCACGAGCGGAGGATTATGACTAGACCGCATGCGATTTCTAGAGCAAGAAGCTTTCGATCTCGAGGAATTTTCAATGGAATTTGCTCCATTGTGTTGCTTTGTTTGTTCCTTGATCAGGGGAAGTTCTTGAGAAATTTGCGTTCGATTCCTCAACCTAAATGGAGTTTAGGTGATAGACAGGTTGGGGTGATTCATAGGAGAATCGCTGAAGTCTCTGGTTCTTCTTTGAACAATACCATTGATGTTGATGTATCTCCTAATAATAATAATAAGTCTGCAAGTCTCCCCCTATCATGTCTTGGATTAACCGAACATAGAGATTATCCGAGCCGATGTGAGTACTTGATTGCCCATCCCGATTGCAATTCAGGTGGATTTTTCAATTACATCACGTTCTTCTACTGTGACTGTGAAGGTTTTAGTCTTCTGGGTTATGTGGCTTTGGTATTTTGGCTTGCTGCGTTGTTCTATCTGTTGGGTAATACTGCTGCTGATTATTTTTGTTGTTCCTTGGAGAACCTCTCGAATCTCTTGAATTTGCCAGCGACCGTGGCTGGAGTTTCGCTGCTTCCTCTTGGTAATGGTGCTCCTGATGTCTTTGCCAGCATTGCTGCTTTTATGGGAAAGGATGCTGGTGAAGTTGGTCTTAACAGTGTCTTGGGTGGAGCTATCTTCGTAACATGTATTGTTGTTGGTGCTGTTTCTCTTTGTGTTGCTGAGAGGGACGTCAGGATCGATAGGAAATGTTTTATCAGAGACATTTGTTTCTTCATGTTTGTCATTGCCTCACTTGCTACAATTTTGGCGTTCGGTAGGGTCAATGTCATCAGTGCAATTGCGTTTGTTTCAATTTATTTGGTCTATGCATTTGTAGTTGCCGCACATGAGATTTTGGAAAAGGACTCAGTAAAAATGTCCCTGAACTCTGTAACACCTTTACTTCCTGTAACTGGAAGCATTTTCTCTGTTGGAAGTGAAGAAGATGAATCGGTCTATACGACTCTTCTTGAGTTCAATTCTGATGGTGATGTACCACATCTCCAAAATAAACTGCCACAATGGATGTGGTCTTCAAATGTTGCAATCTATTCAAATCAGACAATGAAGGGCAGTGTTGATAGTCCAAAAGCTTTGTGGGGTTGGAATGATGAGGATACAGCGAATGACTCCTCGTTTTTCTCTTTCTCCAAATTGTTTTCACTTCTTGAACTTCCATTGACACTTCCAAGACGTTTGACCATTCCCATTGTGGAGGAGGAACGATGGTCAAAAGTTTATGCTGTTACCAGTGCTACGCTAGCACCCGTTCTTCTGGCATGTTTATGGAACACCCAAGATGATCTTGGACCTCTGAGTGGAAAATTTGCGTACTTTTTGGGGGTTTCCCTTGGTGGTGTGCTTGGCGTCCTTGCATATTTGTATACAAGCCCTGATCAGCCACCTCACCAGGCTTTATTTCCATGGGTCTTTGGGGGATTTTTTATGAGCATTGCCTGGTTTTACATTGTTGCAAATGAGCTAGTAGCTTTGTTGATGACATTAGGTTTAATTTTTGGAGTCAACCCATCAATTCTTGGATTAACAGTGTTGGCCTGGGGGAACTCAATGGGTGATTTGATGTCTAATGTAGCACTGGCAATGAATGGTGGAGATAGTGTACAGATTGCTATGTCTGGGTGCTATGCTGGTCCTATGTTCAATACTCTTGTGGGGCTGGGTATCTCCATGCTTCTTGGAGCCATGTCCCATCGACCTGCACCTTACATGCTTCCTAGAGATAGTAGCTTGTTTTATACATTGAGTTTTTTAATGTCAGGACTTATTTGGTCACTTGTTGTGTTACCTAGGAATGGTATGCGCCCAAACAAAAATCTAGGAGTTGGTTTGATTGTTATCTATTTCTCGTTTCTCATCCTCAGAGTGAGCACATCTATGGTGGAGCACTAATGCTGGCAATAAATATTTGTTTGAGCTAATCATAGGCGTCTCAACTATAAGCAGGCCAGTGTAACATACATTTTGATTGAACGGTACCCAAAGGTCATGGGACTCGAAAAAGTTATTATAGATGCTGTTGTAGGAGATTATGATGCCTTGACTTTTATTGCATCATCTGCCTGTTAATATCATGATTTGTATATCATAGCATTGTTAAGTGAAATGAAACTAAAAGATTATTATCACATGTATATGTTATTCATTTTAAACTCTCTTTTCTTTTCTGAGGGTTGTATTGAATATGATTTTTGAGCTGGGAGATTATGGTAGGACACTCTCATTTAGGATCAAAAGTGCTGCTCAATCAAACCATTTTTAGTTTTTTAGCTCGTAAAATCTGTTTGGATTCAGTTTATGAAGGGCTCATATTCTCTGCAAATATTTTCCAGAATTTTCTTTGAGATGTTCCCCCTGCGAATGCATTCATGATTGGACAGATGGGAATGTTGAAGAAATTAATCGGTTACATATTTATATTTTTTATTTACAAGTATCAACCTTACGGGCTCATTTTGCTTTATATTCCATGTACATCCAAGTAATCTACAGTTTGTTTACATATTGAATGGGAAAGCTTGTTTCTTGTTTTCTTCCCTCAATCCTTGTAGTTGTTGTGATTTGAAGATCAAGTGTTCTTGATACGTATAGAAGGAAGCATTCAGAAACTTATCTTTAGAGGGAACACTGAAGTGCGAATCTGCAATTTGTTCTCTGATTTTCATCTGCTCGTTACATGTAACATAGACTGTATGTGTTTTATCTTTGATGGACAACAATGCTAAAATGCCGACGTGCAAGCGCCTGATTCTTTAATTCTATTGTTTCTGTTATTGAATATTCTGCTACAGTTGCCTTTATCTTTTCCCACAGTTATAATGACTTCCAGCAGAAGGGCCTGCTTGATCTACTCTTTATGGTAGCAAGCATCCTAATGCAAGGCATATGGAAGATTAAAGGCACTAGAGAAGCTAAAAGTTTAATTACATTTACACGGACAACTACAAAAGTTAGAAGAATACATTGCAGTTAACAAAAAATGCAGACCCAGTTCATGGAGACTTGCGTGAAATGGAGTGCTGCCACAAATCTCCAATTTAATCACAACAGAAACTTTGAGCTGCATTCCTTACAGGGAAGAGGACAAGCAATTACCATCCTCCCCTCTTGATTGTCGTCCCTTTTATGAATTCAGCAGCTGGTTGATTCGCCATAGATGTTGTCGAGAATGGCAATGACTCCAACAACAAAAGCCTGATCAATTCCAGGTTTTATTGACACATAGTAGAGATCCTTGCTCAACAGGACTCCAGCCTTTTTATTCTTTCCAATCTGCAGTTATTTAAAACAAGTAAGAATATACCGCTTCATGGGAGGAATAGGACCAAGATTAAGTATAACTACTCTCTTCGATTATATCCAGATGGTGTTGCTAGCTCGTTTTGTAATTATGATCTTGGATTGATTTTGCTGGATTAGAGCCTATTTCTGTAGTTAGTTATTAGATTTCTTTCTGCTGTTGGGCTTGTTATTTGTTTGCCTTTGTTTTTTCTTTTTTCACAATAAAAGCTCGGTTTTTTTCAAATCAATATCTATATATAGTCGGTATTAGACAGTATCAAGCCAGGTGAGGTGCGGGCAGGGAAGGCTCGTTTGGTAGATAGCAAGTAGGTAATCCTAAGAGAGATTCAATCGCACCTGAGCTACTAAATTGCCTTGAGAATCAATGATGCTGCTTTCTTTGCCAGGGAAGTATCCACTGATCTCAAAGTCCCAATCTTTCTTGCCGAGGTTTGGTTTTGTTGTGATTCTAATTCCAGTATCTTTGTCCACAGGAAGACATGACTTGGGCTTTCTCAAGCTGAAAACCAGCTTTTTGGATCCTTGGAAGTCGTATCGGTAAGCATTCCATATCTTATTAAAGCTCAGAGCCTCAAAAATCCCTCCCTGAAACATAAAACTGTGCTGAATAATCCCAAATCGACCATTTTTATGCAGGAAAAGTAGAAAATACTTGTTCAGGAAACATGTAGAACACTTAGTTATTACCTTCCCACGGATCAAAAGCAAAGCATTCCTCCTCTCATCTCTTAGAATCAGCTCCTCTGCTTTTCCCAGAATCCCACACCCATCAACACTGAAAACAACTTTCTGATCACAATTTGTCACCACGAAACCTCCTCCGTTAATGACATGTGGTCTCTTCCTAACAACGTACACAACCTCAGTAGATGAACAATATAGTTTGCTAACCAATGGAACCATCTTTCTGATTGTAGTTAAGCTATGTTTCTTTGTTGGTATTTCTGCACTCTTTTATGAAGTTCTAAACAGATTCGAAGGTAAATGATTGATTATTGCTAAGAAGGTTTGAAGAAGGTGAGTATCAATGGCTTGAAGTCAAGGTTGCTTGTTATAGAACACAACGAATGGTTCACGCACTGTTAGTTTTAGCCAATAGAAACAGAGAGAGGGCTCTGGGAATTATTCTATATGCACTTTGGCTAGATGCTTTAGTGCTTGTTGCCCAAGAAAAGCCATAAAGAAAGATTCTTTGTAGTACATATCTTGTGGAAACAAGCAATAGTTTTTCAGAAGTTTGTGTTTAGAATCCTCAAAAAGCCATCAATTTTGACAATCTGTGAGTTTAAGTTCAAAATCAGCTTTAGCGAGGAGCTTTATTGGAGAAAGATCCCTTTTGATGTAATTTTAGAACGGTCAAAACACGTTCGTCGTGATCAAAATAACTAAAAACGGCCAAACAAAGGTGATTTTGGTCATTCTAAAATCACTTTCAAAGATGGTTGGAATAAAGTAATCTAACGGAAGTACTTCTAACGCATCTTCCTAACTTGAGAAAACTTCGACTGTAAAGAGAGTTTCGTTTCTAACAACCTTGTCCTAATTGAAAACTATCTCAAATGCATATGGAATATGATAACTTCTTTCAATTTTGTCTTTGATTTTGTGTCAAGAGGAACCTTTTGAACTATTTTGAGTAGAAATCAATCCATTGAAATGATAACATTGACATGCTATCTCTTGAGGTCGGTGTTCAGATGTTCATACTTCACATTTGTTTTATTTAGAAATTGTCGAGATATTTGTATTTCTAGGTTAAAATATTAGTTTGATCTTTGTATTAGAACTGGCACTATTTCTGCCATTTTACTTTGAAATGTTCCATTTTAACAAATTTTAAAATTAGTCAGTTATTGTTGGCAGAGTTGTCAGTTTTTGTCTATTATGTATTGTTGTCAGCTTTACAATTTTAAAATGTATATGTTAGAGAGATTTTCATGCATCTATAAAGAATGCTTTGTTCTTACAATGTATTTTTCTATTTCTTTTTTAAGTTAAATAATATTGTTGAAAAATTGAAAATTTATGAATATGTTTTTTTTTTTTTAAGAGGAAACCTAAAATTAGGGTTTTATTAATTTATTGGAAGATTGAAAATAATTAGTTGGAAAAAATAATTTGAAGTGTCAAAATTCTACTGGAATTATGGTTTTCAAGAACCAGAAATCCATCGGTACTTCCATGGGAATATCAAGTTCATATGCCGGAGTAACAATAGATTTCGATCTTCATCCCGAAACCGCCATTTTCGAATTTCAAACACATAAGCCCCGTGGCAGAGAATGTAGAAGTTAGATAAGAATCACGAGTACCCATAATGGGTCCTACTCTGCTCCTCCAGGCGCCGCCGAGCTGCTGCAGTGTCGATTGTTCTCGAAACTGGTGGCTGTGGCCGAACATTGGCAGAAATCACCGGCGAGCTACAGAGTCCATCAGAAATTCAGAATTCGGAGCTTCAGCGATAGCGTAAAGGGCATTGAATTTGACATCGAGCTTCGAATCTGCACTGTTTCTTCAATCGGATACGTCACTGCCCCACTTCCTTTTTGTCTTCTTCATCTGTTTGCAATCCGTTCGACGATCCAAATATAAGAGTAGACTAGACCCCCTCCGTCGCCTTCAGTTCCCAGATTTCCAGAGGCCCATATCGCTCTCTCCTGTTCTGTTCATGTGATTGTCCAAGAACTAATAATGGGCCAGATATTGGCTGCTTTTCATCACTATTTGATTTGATATGAGGCCCGGGTACCCCCTCAGTCTTAAACCCGTGGTCACGCTCACACGCACACCAACTGTTTGATGAAATGTCAGGTAGTTTTCTTTTCCCCATTTGTTCAACTGGCTTGCCTTGGAGCTTTTATTTTTCAATGTATATGATTCAGTGTTTACATTACATTAATCTGTAGTTTCCTCTTTGTCTAGCTCGAGATGCTGATTCGTCATATGATCTATGCACCCTTTCCTAGGCATCTCTCCTCCACGTGCGTTCTGAGCTCTCTACCTACTTCCCATTTTTCTTCTTTGCATTGAACACCCAAAACAGCTTAAACAGAGACAGAAACTTACTTAATTATGCTCATTTCTTCATACTCCATTAAGGCTAAAGAATGAATTAACTCCAAAATCTTACTTGAAGGAAACCCAGATGCCTCAACTTTGATAACCAGTCTTATACAGACTTAGGGACGCTAGGCACAGGCTTTTCTCACAGCCGTCTTTACATTATTAATGGAAAGCTGAGTTCTTGAAAAGAAATATTTAAACTCCTCACAGTCTCTCTCATAAAAGAATGGTACTGCCTCGAGTCGAGAAAAGGCTCGTTTTTTCACTCAAAGCCTGTGACATGACAATAATGACTCTCTTTCTGGCCTCATTATCACTTGCATCATTAAAATCCCTGCAACCCACAACTTGATTCATACATTTATGTGCTGCAGTTTACTTGCAGAGCGGCTTTCTTTTGTGGGCTGTAATTATCTTTGTCAGCCTTTCGTATTACTGTTCTGTCACTACCCATGTAAGACCATTCATACCCAACATTAACTGTTGCTTTAGTTCGTCATTTGCTTTTGCAGTTACTCTTTTCTTCGCTCTCTGCTTCTTCCCTGCATACTTATATTTCTGCTGTTATAGACTTTCTGTGTTGTTTTCTTTCTCATCTGTGCTCTGACCTTTGGTGATTCACGACTGGGTTTCTATCAGTGTCGGGTGCCCTGAGAAGTGACTCGAGCAATGGCTGCTCGGTCTGTTTACTCTTCATCAGTGCCTTCGCTGCCACCACCTTGTCCAAAGTCTCCACCTGAGTACCCGGATTTGTATGGGAAGCGTCGGGAAATAGCCAAAATTCATATGCTTGAAAGAGAAATTGGTATTCTTGAGGTTTGTTCGAATTTGAATTGATTGTTACTATCTTCATATTCTGAAACTTATAGTTCAATTGCAAGCATTTCTCTTTTTTGTCATTAGCTTTGCTAAGTAGGCACGGAATTTTTCAGTTCTACATGCAGATCTGTTTGCTTGATTTTAGGAGCTAGTTTCTCATTGCAGTTCTAAAACAGATTCGATAAGCTTAGAACTTCCATTTCGTGGCATGAAATTTCTCCCAGACCTTCATGGAAAAGCACCACCTGGGAAGTCTCTTGGATAGGAAAATCCAAGAAAAAATTTTGGCTTCTAAATTTCTTGGGCTGCCTTTTCCCCAAAGCCAGGGGAATGAAAAACACAAGAATTCAATCTCTATCCCTCTAAAATCCATGGAATTTGAAAATTAATGGACTCGTTGTCTTCTCCTTTCTGTTTACCAGATAAAAGCATATACTAATTATCTCCTCCTGTCGTGGGATCGTTTAGCTGGACAAATGCCAAATGTTACACGAAAAATTGAAATTAAATACAATGATCACACATGTCGTGAGGCACAATACCCGGTTTCAAATTAGCCATGATTGCTTTATTATTAGCTCAATGCGTCGTTACATTTTTCTAGTTTTCTTGAAACAGGACGAACTAAAATCTGTTGAAAGTCTTCAATCCGTCTCTATTTGCTGCAAAGAGTATGTTTCTTCTTAATAAATTCCATCATCTTTTAATTTATTGAAGTTCTGATGTCTTTCTTCCGTTAATTGAACCCATCCAATCGGGAGATTGATCCATCCAGTCTTTTGCAGGATTAGCGACTTTGTTACGGTCAACTCAGATCCATTGACGCCTACGTAAGAGTTCCTTTCTAATTAAACTAATCTGCATAATTTTAAGGTTGCATTAGTTATGAACAATGCCCATTTTTTTTTCAAGCAGATGTAGGACAAAACATAAGCGATGCCGCTTCTGGAAGTGGTTATGGTTAGAACTTTCAACATACGAAATCTGATTTTAGCTCATCACTGATTACGTTTTTTTGTATAACATTTGTTACGATTGTATGCAGCGGATTTCCTTGCTTTAATTTGTCATGGCTGTGCTGCTGCTCTTGCACTGGATGCTCTGTCTCCCTTGAGGTGCCTAGCTGCTGTGTTTGCAAACCATGCAACTTCCCATCCTGTTCAAACTGCTGTAATAAGCCGAAGTGTAGTTTCTTCTCCTGTCCCTCTTCATTTTGTTGTAGAAACATCTCGTGCCGTAGACGGTGTTGCATTTTGTCATTACCTTCGATCTCATGCTCCGATGGCTGCCGCTGCTGCGAATGCAAATGCAGCTGTAAGTGCTCTTTTCCAAAATGTTCACAGGTACCTTCTTGTCGCTTCTGTACAAAATCCTGTTGTGACCCCTGCTCTTTATGTTGTTGGTTTTGACCCCTGCTCGCTTCTGATATAATCAATGTACATTATTATGAATATATTCTACTTTTTATTGATTTTGTCCATATTTATTAGTGGGAATACGATTGGTATGCCTTTTAAATTATTTAAGACAATATTTTGAGTTGTTTAATCAGGGTCCTACTGCTGGATTATTGATGGGTATCATTAGAACTGATTGGCCACAATTTGTCTATATGGTTATAGAGTTGTCTTATCACTTGTTACTCTTTTGTGAAAACATCCTCCTGTTTGTTAAGTCCCTGAACTAATCGTACTACTGGAGGCCTTTGTATAATATGAATCGATTAGCCTGGTCCCATATGCTTCTTGCATCAACGGTTGAGATACCATGCTCATGATCTTTATCTAATATTTAGTACTCCCCCACTGATCGGTACATGATTGTTCTTATGCTACTTAGCTTGTGAGTTGAATACGGATAGGCAGCATTGGACTGTTTTTGAATTTGACATATGAATTGGGCAAGGTCTCTGTTCGTCACTGTTGTTTTGTCTAGTTTTACAGTTTTGCTAGTAAATATTATTCGTTTTAGCTCGTTACGTATTGCTAGGAAACAAAATATCTGTTAGCAATGAGCTTAGACTTTTACAAGCTGTTACAAATGGTATCAAAGCCAAACATCTGGTGGTGTGCCAATGAGAACGCTGGCTCTCAAGGGGGCTGGATTGTTAGATACCCACATCGATTAGAGAGGGAAACGGAGCATTCTTTATAAGGATATGGAAACTCTTCTTAGTAGACGCTTACACAATAGGCCAAAGCAGATAATATCTGTTAGTAGCCTTAGTTTGTTATACAAAAATAGAAATATCTAGAGAGATTTGGGAGTTATTTAAGATATAACTAGGAAATAGTAAAGTGAAGTAAACAAAGTATGTGTTATGGCATTACATTTGGTTCAACTCTCCCCGGGACTTCCCAACTTCGTAAACTGACACAACTTTTCAGACTCTTCTTCTACTGTCTATTGGCAAATCAGACACTGAATTTTCCTATGCTTGATGATGATGATCATCGTTCTCTTGTTGATCATCAACTTCTTGCTGGCGGAATGGAAAAGCCAGTATCAAATGGAAAACGCCCTATACGAAAACAACAATCACAACCTTGTCCAGGTGAATGCCACTGGGCTCCTAACTTCGTGTAGATCATTGCTCCACACAATCGATCCAAACCCATATCTCGCGGTTAGAGCAGCATCCCCGCTCGTCATAAATGTGACAGTGTACATTTTCTTCTCACCAACTTTGGTGAAAACAAGCTTTGACGGTTTCACCATCACCTCCACAGCCAACGGTGCAGTAGTAGCCACTTCATAAACCGACCCTGCAGCCCCAACATTCGTGACTTCACGAGTGTATTGAACCACCCTCTTTCCCCCGAACACAACTGAAAATGTAGGGTAGTTAAGTTGTCCTGGGTCTGCAAACTTTCGGGAGCACGTTACATTCGATTGCTTCACAATTGCCCGAACATGATCAATCCCGTAGTCTAAGGAGCACAGGAAGGCAAGGTAGTCATCGATCGAGATATCGTATAGAAGACCTGGGGAGAGGGCTTTGTGAGGATCAACGTGGCCAGCTCCATGGCCCCATGGATTGGAAAACGCCCCTCCGGCAGCATCCCGGAGAGATGAGTTGGTGTTGTCCAGCGTGTATGCAGTGGTCATTAACGCAGATTTGATAGCACTTGGACTCCATTTCGGATGAGCTGCCTTCATCAATGCCGCCAGCCCGCTTATATGTGGGCAAGACATTGATGTTCCTAAATAGCAGAAGATTTATCAGCTAAAGAGCGAAAGGGTAAGCCTAAGCAAGAGCCATTTAGGACATACCTGACATAATATTGAACTGTGTTTTTCTCTTGTCGCTGTCCAATCCGGTAGGTCCAATGGACTCAGACCAGGCAGCCAAGATGTTAACGCCAGGCCCAATAACGTCCGGCTTTAGGATTTGGGGCGTTACCAAGTTGGGTCCTCGGGAACTGAAGGCCGCCACCACTGGAGATGGGCGCACGTTCATAACTGTCCCACCAAAGCTTAGCAGCGCCGTCGGCTTCGAAACTGACCGCACATAATGCCGGATCATGTCGCCGGTTATTCTCCCCACTGCCACGGCCGGCAGCAAGTGGCTGTCAGCCACCAATTTCTCTCCATTAGCCGCTGTGTTTGCTAGGATCATCCCAAATCCACCGGCATCTCGCACCACTCCTCCCTTCTCTGCTCTGGCGTTGATTCCCCTGTCGCAGACCACCACTTTCCCTTTGACCAATTCCGGGTCAAGAGAACCGGGCAAACACATGTTGCTGGAGGTGTTGCTTCCTTCATTGTACACCAAACCCACCGGCTTGTTCATTCCTTGGCCACTGTAGAGCGACACTCCAGTGAACCGCTTGCCATTTCCGAGTTGGACATAAGCTGGAAAATCCCGGTCCAGAGTTCCAGCTCCGACCGTCATGATCCAAGGTGCCACATTAACCAGAGAAGCCAAGTTTGGCCCACTGTTCCCTGCTGAGCACGAAACAAAAACCCCATTCTCCATGGCTGCAAATGCTCCTATTGCAATTGTATCCTGGTAATAAGGTGCAGAGCCACCGCCCAAAGAGAGTGAGAGTACATCGACACCGTCCGATAATGCCCGATCCATACCTGCAAGAATGTCAGATCCAAAGCAACCAGTGGACCAACAGGTTTTGTAAGCTGCAACTCTCGCTTGAGGAGCCATCCCCCTGGCAATGCCTCTGGCATACCCAAGTAAGCTCGCGTTAGCCACATGTGACCCAGCAGCCGTGCTTGCTGTGTGCGTGCCGTGTCCATCCTGGTCTCTAGGCGACTGGTTTTCTCTTGGATTTCCGAAGTACCCATCATTAGAAGCCATTTGATAACCCTTCGAGAAGCTGCGAGCTCCGATTAGTTTCTTGTTACACAGTGAAGGGTGGAAATCGGGCCCTGATTCGCATTCTCCACACCACCGCGATGGAATCTCCGGCATTCCAGTGTCGTCAAAGCTCATAGACTCCGGCCAAATCCCGGTGTCGATAACCCCAATAATAACATCATGAGAAGCCTGGTGGAGATCCTGAGTGTTGTGACCTTCCCAGAAGCCGAAATTGGAGTTGAGGCCGAGGAATCCCGGAGTTCGAGTGGTGTGAAGGTTATAAACAGAGTCTTCATAGACACCCAGAATGGAATCCGATTGGCGAAGCAATTGGGCTTCCTCTGGATTCAGAGAAGCAGCGAAGCCATTGTAGGCGGATGTGTAGGCGTAGAGAATGGAATCAGAGGTGGCGGAGGAGGATAGGGTTTGGAGATGGGCAGAGTACCAGTGATGATGTGTGGGATACTCAGAAGGCAGAGCATGATGTTTCATGCGAACGATGTAGGTTGTCTTGGCATCGACGAAGACACAAGGACGAAGAACAAGATGAACAACAAGAACAAGAACAATTGCCATGGAGCCCATGGGAAGAAAGGGAGAGTAGAGCAATATCTTACTCATAGCAAAGCATATAAGTAGAGCTAGGAAAGAGGGTAATGGCTTAACACAGCCCAAAACTAAGCTGACTTTCAAAAAAAAAAAAGAGCGGTTAGAGAAGGACAATGCAGGAACCAGTGTCTGGTTTATATGGCAAGGTAAAGTTGCAAACAAGGCTACCATTTCCCTCGTGTTACATAAATACCACCGATCAGACCAAGTTAATTGATTTTCTGTTCACTCCAAAGATTTCGTTCAAATATCATCACTATCTAGTATCAAAACGAGTTTGCCCTATTTCTTAGTAAAAAGTCTCGAACGAAGAAATCGAGATGCAATAGGTCGAGACAGAAAATCAAGTGTCAGACTTGTTTACGAAAGAACTAAAACATGAGAGCTTTTGCTGTCAGATCAACATGGCGCAACAAATAAAGACTAATGCTGAGGGGAGTATTAAAATATCATCACTAGCCTACTAGTGATTTACGTATTTAAGAATAAAGATACCTATATACCTTTCCACCCACGTAAATTTTCATCTCAAGAAATCTCTACTAGTCTCAATACCCCTTCACCCCACCTAGGTTTTCATCCCAAGTAGTCTCAAAATGTCTTATAATCTCTTCTCAACTAGTGTTAATAAAAAGTTTAAGTGTTTTCCACACAGAGGTATATTGAACAGATTTCTTAGAACTTCTTCGCCTCCAAAAATGTATACTTTTTTTGGCTTAGTTGCAGTGGTGAACTAGTCACGAGCGAAAATAAGAACATGCCTAGTCCATAATGAATGTTATTCAACAAATTTTGTTGTTTCTATATTGAAAATAAAGATTAGGGGGGAGTGCATGGAAAAAGAAGGCTACAAAATTTGTTGTTCCTCTCACGGGTTTAGCTTGTTTTGAAGTAGTAACCCGTGAGTGGGGATTTTGTATCTATAATTTTGTCTTTCCTTGCATATGAATGAATGGCTACAAACACCCACTCAGAAAACAACCAAATTCTCTGCATCAACGTATTACAATCAATACTCGCTCAAAAACTATATGCCAGACTTAAAAGATGTTTGTAACGGAAGCGGAAGCAAGTTCGATCGTACTTATACACCCACAAACAGAAATTGAATAAAGAGACACAAAAATTTACGTGGTTTGGAAAGAAGAAATCCTCTTACGTCTACGAGTAACAACAAATCTCAATAATCAAAGTGTTTATAAAGGGTATATTTTCCACTACAAAGTTTCTCCTAAATGACATTAAACAAATACAAAATGATAATCAAACTCGATGCATAAACTTATTCTTCATGACAAAAGGGTCTCTTTTTTACACTTTTTTATTTAAAAGGAAAGGAGTGATAGAGAGGACTGGGCAGAACGGACATACACATACATGCACACACACCATTTGCATAAAATAAGGTAACGGCTGCATCTCTTGCTTTTATTCTAATGCAAAACCTCGCACTGGCCGTTGTGCTAATGAGATAGGCAAGTTTGATTGGATATTGATGGGCTGTTTTAGCGTCGAGTTATGAAATCTTTAGTTAATAAGTCGGTGTATTTGGATTGCTAAGTTGTTTACACGTTGTCTATAAATTTGTGTTCGGATTGCTAAATTCTTTAGTCTGGGTTTTGAAAGTATGTTTTTGGACTACTACGTTGGCTTGAGTTATAAAGGAGTGTTGAATTCTAGTCCTTGTCATACATTGGAGAAAGATTTGAACTAGTAATGTAACAACTTAAGTGCATCGTTAGCAGATATTGTTCGTTTTAGTCCGTTATATATCACTGTTTACTTCGCAATTTTAAAACATGTTTGGTAGGGGGATGTTTCCACACTTTTATAAGTAATGTTTCGTTCTTCTCTCTAACTTATGTAAGATCTCACAATCTACCCCTCTTGAGACCCAACGTCTTCATTGGCACACCGCCCGATGTTGGGTTCTGATACATTTAATTCATGTGCTATAATACTTTAGCAGTCGCTACATGGTAAAATTCATGAAAAAAAAAACAATATCTTGAAAGTTCGTAGTAAGAAATGATTGGAATGGAGTTTTTAAACCCTAAGTTCAAACGGGGATTCCAACTAAATCTAGCTCAACGTCCCAAATAGACCTTTATAAGTTTTCTTAACCACACACTCCTTTCAAGAACCCAAAGCCAAAATCCCAACTTTTTTATCTCTCCATCTTCTTAGATTACTTAGCCTCACAGTTTTACAATACGTCGGCTAGAGAGAGGTTTCTACATTGTTGTAATAAATGATTCGTTCTCTTCTCCAATCGAAGTGGAATCTTATAATTCACCCGTTCGAGGGCTCATCTTAAAATTGTTGAGAATTGTCGTGAAAATTTTATTCATAGATATTCGTATTTATAAATACTTTTGGTATATTAATCACTTAGATTCAACCACGTACTCTATAGGTATAATATTTTTTAAAAAAAATTAATTAAATAAAATAAAGGTATTTAAGGAAAGAAAATGTAAAATAAAAGAATATATGTTCGAAAATATTTAATTATAAATATTTGTATATTTTCGACAATTACCATTTTATGGGCCGATCTAAATGGGCCGAATAAAGGAAAGGCCCAAACAAATAAGAGACTTTTGGAAATTGTCTAATCTAGATTCTTGACCTCTTCCGCAACACAAAACTACGATATTCTTTTTCACTTCCCGGGTTTCTTCTACGCCGCTGACCGGAGAACTGACGCTCTGCGGTCGAGGTTTCAGCCATGGCTACGCTGGATTCGGATGTGCCTATGGTTCCCGCTGGTGAGGCTTCGAGTAGTGCTGGTCCTTCATCCTCCAAGAAACCTAAGCGATTTGAGATCAAGAAGTGGAATGCTGTCGCTCTTTGGGCTTGGGGTACTTTCAAACCTTAATTTCGACTTTTACGGTTTCTTGTAGAGATATGTTGCAGTAGTTTGGACGTTTCTTAATGATTATTTTAACGTAATTTGTAATTTACTTGTGCAGATATTGTTGTCGATAATTGTGCTATTTGTAGGAATCACATAATGGATCTCTGTAAGTTGAAAGAGTTTCTGGAGTTCTAAGTGTTCTTTAATTCTAGATGTGGTTTTGGATGTTGATTTGATGTTTCTTACTGTTGTGTGTCCCGATTGGTTTGGTGTTTAGGCATTGAATGTCAGGCGAATCAGGCGAGTGCCACTAGTGAGGAATGTACTGTCGCTTGGGGTATGCTATTACGCCTCTTTTCTGAAACCCTAGCTTTTGTTCTTGTTTCCTTGTCTTACCTTTCTTATGCTGGTAAATTTGATCACTTTGTCTTATGGTGGTTGTGCAAAGCAGCCTTGAGATATCTCGGTGACTGAAAAATTATCTTAAGCTACTTATTTTTCTTGATCACACTGCCAAACATTAACAACTCTCTTGTTGAATGGACCATGCTTTTCTTTGTTTTATGTTGTTCATGTAAGCTATTTTAAATTCTAAAAGTTTCAGATCCATCGGGGATTTTCATGGTGGTTCGTCATTTGATCTCGTGTCCGCAGTCCTTTGGATGCATGGTTAAACCATAAATTTGTTTGAGTCCCTTTTGATAATCTCTCTTTCCTTTAGGGATTAACTCTTTTCTTTACCTCAATGCTTTGGTTTTGCACTTATTAAGATTGTTATTTGCAGGGGTTTGCAACCATGCTTTTCACTTCCACTGCATTAGTCGTTGGTTGAAGACTCGCCAAGTTTGTCCATTGGGTATACTTTCTCGTATCCTTTAATGTTTTTAACTCACAGAACCGTATGAAAATTCTGCTCATTCTTGATTGAACTTTTGTTATGCTTTTCAGATAACAGCGAATGGGAGTTCCAGAAGTATGGACATTAGGACCTTTGTACGGTTGCAACGTCGGAGGTCAGACAAACTCTACTTGAAATGTTTGTTGGTTGAATATTTGAACCTCTAATGTCCATTCCCAATATCCTGTTATGATTTGCTATATGTATCTTTGTACCTTTTTAAATTTGGAAGTAGTTTAACATAATCTTAGTTGCTTCACTCCAAGCATTGAGCTAAAAGTTTACGTTCCTTCTGTGAACTTCCCTGCTGTTCCCTTTGTGCATGTTTTTGGTTGAATCAGAGTGCCAAATCTCTTTGTTATTTTCACAGAGATGTTGCTAAATATCTTGGTGAAAGTCCTTTCTTCCTTTGATTTTATACTATGGTTATATTGAAAACGTAATTTGAGATGAGAGTGTTGATGATTTTCCCAATTCATAAAGTTATTCAATGGTATATTATTAAGGGTCAGAAAATAAGTGACGATTTTACAGTACAAAGTAACATAATTTGAAGGCTGATGATATAATTCCTCCAAATTTGAAGGAATTGGCTAACACTTCTCTTTTCTTTAGTTCAGCCATTTTCTACATTGCATTTTCCAAGCTATTATGTCATGTAAGCTTATAAATTAGTCAATTTTAGTAATGGTAGAATGTGGGAAAGGTATGTCTAAAGCGTATATTTAGTCTCAAGTCCACTTTTGCACACTGATAAATGGCTAGAACAATGCAAAGATTGGGCTGTTAGCTCCCATTCTACATATTTAGCCCATATGGACTCTCATGGGCCAACCCAGCAAGTACGAGAAATTATCATATTTAGCTAATTTCTAAATTTTGATAATTAGGAAAATTACCTTCTTGAAATTGCAGTTTGGTTTATTTAGTTTTTAAGCGTAACAATTTTACTCCTTTTAAGTTTGCATTTGGTAGAAATTTTGGTCTATTCATGACCAAACATTTTCCAAATTACATCATATGACCAAACAAATGTTAAAACTACTTCCAAGGTTGATGACCATCTACGACTAGTCTTCTCAAACGTTTGCTATATAATGACCAAACAAACAAGCCATTATCAACTATAGCACATAGATCATTATCAACTATAGCACATAGATTGTGATGTGACATTGTACTATTTGTCCATCGTTATTGTATATTTTAATTAATCTCCAAATAACAATCACGATGAATCAATATCTACATCACTGTCATTATGAAAAGATGTAATGAGACAGGTAAATGAATTGACGTTTTTTGTTCTTTTTTCAAACGACCTAAATGATCAAACTTGGTAAAGGCATTCTTGGTATAAAACAAGAAAACGTTCACACTAATTTGTCATCAAAACGACAAAGGTTGACTTTGACAAAAAATTGAGTAAAAGAATTTAACATATTTGGTATTACTTCCAAAGTTGAAAACATATTTGTTATTAATCATAGATGGAATCTTCATGGGAGAAGCACCAAAGTCAAATGGACTAAGAGATTGTTCATATTATTTTATAACTTTATTTAAGAGATCATTGTAAGGTCACCCATTGATTGAGACCCATCACCAAAAAATCCCAAATTCATCACATAAACCCTAATTCATGGAATATTATCTCTTATTATTATTGATAATTTTTCAATTCTTTGAATGGGTCACACATTTTTTAGTCATGAATTTTTTTTTCCCACAAGCAAACAAATTTGAAAACCTCATAAATTACCATTGTCAATAATTTTCTACAAAGCTTTCTTTGAGTAAATATTTCAAAAACAAGGGCTAAATTTTGGATGACTTTGTCTCTCTCTTACTACAAAATTCCTAATATTTAAATGGGAAAAATTACCGAAAAAGTCGTTCCCGTTCCTAATATTTTAATATCTCAATGAAAATTCGATTTTTGGGAATACCATATTGAAACAACTTCGTCAATTTGATCACGATTATCAATTAGTATATGTGATATTAGTATGAATATCGCTAGTTTTTAGATTCTCAATAAAAATTACGATATATTTTACATTTTTTTGAACGAGTTTTATCAACTTTCGTCCTACTTTCTTTGTTTCTGTTTTTTAAATTGTCAGAAAAATTTGTACGGTCAGCGATAAAATTTTTTTTTTACTAATTTCTTTTATTCCAATCGAGTTTTTATGACTTGCACGTTTCATTTTACACTTCTACCATTGTTCAACTAAAAAAGAGTAGGGTAGGGCGGGTGGATTGACAACGAAATAAAAAAGTTTTATAAAAAAAAAAAGCTTAATTATTGCAAGGGACATGAGTTGAATTGTTCTTCTAGATGGACGTGTGCATAACCGCACGTGTATAGTAGGTGAGGTATATTTGAATATTGCATACTTTATTTGTTTGGGATTGCAAAATATATATATATATATATATATATATATGAATTTTTTTATCAAGTTATAAATAATATAAATATAATACGAGTAAAATATTATTTTACTCTCGACTCTTAATATCTTATCCATGATTCTAAGTCTATACAATCAATTTATATAATATTTTATTTTACCGACTCTACGTCATTTTTAAATTTCAAATATTGTTCGGTCGAAAAATGGGCTAACTCAATTACTTTTGAAACTTTGAAACTATATATAGACATAACAATGTTGTCGTGTCATTTTAACTATTAATGAAAAATCTTTTTACACTCTGAGATTTTCCATCTTGTTCGAGACGAGTTCCTTCGAGACCACGCCTCTTTAAAAGGCCAAAATTGAGGCGTAGACCTACTTGGACCAAACAGCCCACTTTCCCTTTTCTTAAACAGTTGACTGGATGAGGCTTAAACCGTCATTTCACAAAATTCAAAAACGTGTTTTAATTAAATTTGTTTACTTATTCGTAATTCTAAGGTGGTGGATGAATAATAATAATAATAATAATAATAAATAATGTTGAAATTACAGTTAGAGTTGGTGAGTTGTCCCATTTGAATTGGTCATTTCTCTATCAACTTTCACTTTTAATATTTTAATTTTTTTTTTCCATTTAATTATTAAAATATCAAATATTTATGAATAAAAAATAATAATAATTACCCACAATTTCTGTTTGCAACTTGCAAGTAAAATATTCCCAATGAATCTCTATCTACATCTTCGATTTACAAAGTCCTCAATCCAACGGCCTACGCTCTCCGGCCGCCGCTTTCCAACACCGGCGATCTCGGGTAACGGTGATGATCTCGTCTACGATGACCGTTATGTTTTCCTCTTCCGTTCTCTTCTTTTGGAGTCTCACTTCCCTTGGTCGTGGGCGCCGTCTCCGGCACTACAAAAACAAAGGTCCCAATCGACATGTCTTGGTAGTCCTTCAATGGCTCTAGAATTTTCACCACTTCGCTCATCGTTGGCCGCTGCTTCGGGCGGTAGCTCAGGCATTGGTACGCCAATGCCGCTGCCTTTCTAGCTCCTATCTCTGAATATTGTCCTTCGAGTCTACTATCCATTATTCGACTCAACCTTCTATTGTCGTTTAACATTGGTCGCGCAAATTCCACCAAATTCTGCTCTCGGTTCGGCCGGTTTCTCTCTAACGACCGTCGTCCCGTCAACATCTCTAAAAGAACCACTCCAAAACTATACACGTCACTCATTGCCGTCAAGTGACCTGTAAGAAAAATTTTGTTAATCCCGTGTTCAAGTTATACAGTTTTTCAATTCAAACAACTCTCATTAAATAACGAACCCAACTCGAGTTATTTCTTTAAATTTTTGTTTTTACCTAATTCTATAAGAATCCATAAAACTTTCATTTACTTGAACTTAACCCAACTCAAATAAGTTTATATTACCGAAACAAACCAACGAATTGAGTTTAGCTGATCAGTCATCGAGTTTTTAAACACCAAGCTAAATTAAGCTTTAAAAACGTTTTAAGTTGATAGATTACTATAAAAAAAAACTCGACCGAGCTTACCAGTCATGACATATTCAGGAGCAGCATATCCTTCAGTTCCCATGACTCGAGTGGAGACATGGGTATCGTCTCCATCAGGGCCATCTTTAGCCAACCCAAAATCCGAGAGCTTTGCATTGTAATCAGAATCTAATAAGATATTCGAAGCTTTGAAATCTCGATAAATGACGGGTTTTTCAGCTTCATGAAGAAACGCTAATCCCTTCGCAGCTCCTAAAGCTATTTTCATTCTTGTCGACCATGGCAACGACACTGAAAATCCTACCAAACAAATCATAATAACAATAATCAATCAATTTAGCTAAGAAAAAAAAAAAAAACCAATTTTTAAAAAAATCTCAACAATTTCTTACTTCTAAACAGCTGATTCTCCAAGCTCCCTCTTGGCATATACTCATAGACCAACACTCTATGTTCATCTTCACAGCAATATCCAATCAATTTCACCAAATGGGGATGCCGTAATTGTCCCAAAAAGATCACCTCCGTCTAAAACGTTAAACGTTCACGTTAATCACGAACCCATAAATTAAATTTACCATAATTCATCGACTTAAAAACAACGACGTACCAGCCACTCGCGATGTCCTTGTGTGCCATCCAAGTCCAAAAGCTTGACGGCGACTGGCTGAGCCTTGAGGCCAAGGCGA